GTGTGTGTTCTCGTGTGCGTGTGTGTGTGTGTGTGTGTGGGTGTGTGTGTGCGTGTGTCTGTGTGTCTGTCTGTCTGTCTACACGGGGGGTCGCCATTGTCCAGTGACGTCAGATTGAAGTCGGTCGGTTAGGTCATGGTCCGTTTTTTCCGACTTCGCAAATTCGATCCCGCAGTTCCGTCAAAGTCTGACTTCCCACCCTCCGGGAATTCTTCATCTGTGCTCCCGCCCCTCCTTTGAATTGTAATTACAGCATAATAGCTGAGGAGGGCAGTAATTCGCCAAGAAGCGTTTATACACTGCCGGGAATGTGAAAGAAGAAGACGAAGAAGGAGGTGGGGGGGAGAAGAAGAAGAAGAAGAAGAAGAAGAAGAAGAAAAAGTAACACTCGGAAATCAGACCACGCGATCGACACATTGTTGTGATTATCGCGTGAAAATGTGTAAAGTGGAGATGCTGAGAGCATTGTTGAATCAGCGACTAAGTGCGGCTGTCGAGGAAGTGTATGTAGTGATTGAAAGAACGATAGCCGAGTACGAGGAGGAACTTTGCCGCACGAAGAAAGAAAACGAGAGACAGCGTCAACTGCTGGACGCTGTTTTCAAGGCTCACGTGGTGTTACAAAGAACAGGTTTGTTCATTTGTTCACTCGCCATGTTTTAACTCCCGCAAAGATTTTCCTCGTGGAAACTCCAGTGTGCTTCTTTTCTTTCCATTCGTGTTTGACAAGTTAGAACGGTGATTCTCAAACTTTTTCGACGATGACAAAAAACTGGCAGTAAAAATATAACACAATTCATACAAATAACAATAAGCAACAATTTTCCCCTTTATTTTATTGCAATACAAGTGCATTAGGAAAAAAAACGTCAAAATGTGCAATTTAGTTTATCATCTAAGTGTGCGTTACAAGAAGCTTGCAGTCAATGTACTGAAGAATACTCCCTTAATGTCAACTGAAAGATTCGGAATCATTCAGAACTTGACTCTGAGCGATCCAAACCATGTGACTTTGTCCTCTTCTGTCCTGCAGACTTCAGTGATGACTTTCTTCCCCAGCCCCAAGACATGAAAGAGGAGGTAGAGCCAGAACCCTCCCGCTTTAAAAAGGAAGCTGAGGACGCCTGGATCGGTCAGGAAGAAGAGCAGCATGTTGGTCTTGAGGACGCAGAGATCAGCAAGTTGCCATTGGCTGCTGTCACGATGACGAGTGAAGATGATGAAAAAGACTGCAAAGGAGACACCGGTGAAGGCTCGGAAATACACACTTTCTTAGCTCCATTGTTGAGCAGTGAGGACACAACATCACCCCCTCCCGACTCAATCAAAAGTGATTCGAACAAGCCCGAGCAATCCTCTGAATGTGGGGAAATTTCTGGTGGCACGTGTACGCTGACTGAACACATGAGGGTTCACACGGGAGAAAAAGCATTCCGATGCTCAGATTGCGACAAAAGCTTCAAAGAGAAAAGCGCTTTAATGCGTCACAACGTGCTGCACAGCAGAGAGAAGCCCTACACCTGCTCGGTGTGTGGGGAAAAATTCTCACCGAAGTTGGATTTAGCAACGCAGGCAAGAACACACACCGGACAAAAACCTTCCACGTGTGCAGTGTGCTGCCTGCGATTAACGCAAAGGTCAGATTTGACCGCGCACGTGACAATGCACGCTGGGGAGAAGCCGTTCACCTGCTTCTTCTGCAACGGACAATTCTCTCTCAAGGCTGACTTGACCGAACATGTGACGGTACACGCAGGAGACAAACCGTATTCCTGCTATTGCTGCCAACAACGGTTTCGCACGCGTGCGGGATTTGTTTCACACATGAAAACGCACACTGCGAAGAAAGCTCTGGACGGCTCCACAGGTACGCTCGGCGCGGCGAAACGTTTCCCCTGCTCAGTGTGTGGCAAAATACTAACACGAAATTCCGATTTGAGGAGACACATGAGAAGGCACACGGGTGAAAAAGTGCTGAGTTGCAGTGTGTGCGGCCAGAGATTTTCTTACAAGTATCAGCTGGACAAGCACACGTGTGCAGGAGAGAGCAGTCAAACTGCGGAGGTTTGAAAAAAAAGCTGAAAAGTAGCCTCGCAATGTTATCATTTTCCAAAATGACATATTTCCGAAATTCTTCAACTTAACTTCCCACGCGGGGCTCTTGATTGCCCCTCAATGTTGCCATTTTACTTCTAAAACTTGAAACGGCGCAAGTAAAATTTTCATTCACATGCGTATGAGCTACAAGTAAATTTGGGGCTCCCTCGCGAGGCCGTAAGCCCGCGTGCTGGCATCTAATATTGCCCATTAGGTGGCACCGTTGCTGATCTCAAAGTTCATTTCAAGCAAATTATATTCAAAGTATTGGCTCCAGCATTAAGTCATATATGACGCTGTCATTTTTTTTTTTATCTTATTCTTTTTTATCCCTTGCGCGTGTTGCCGTCTTTATTTCGCTATTATTTTTTTAGTAGATTGTTGCCATGGATATTGAAAATATGTTCTCAAACTGTATTTGTTGTATTTACACTGCGATGTACTACTTGGTAATGTGAAATAAAAAGTGTAAGTATAAACCCCCTTTTTAATTTCATGTTGCCTTCCACTTAACATCCGGTAACGGAAGGCCATGCCCCAGCGCCATATTTAGAAACTTGCCATGATGACTCGTAATGGCTTTTGTCGCGTCACGTGACATTTGAGTAGGTTGGGCATCGAGAAGCGTTTAGTGGTGGAGAGAGAAACTGAAGATGCTGACAAAGACCACCCTGGAGGATGACAAACAGACCACCTGTTGCCCCCCCCCCCGCCCCCCATCATATAGCGACAACTCCATGTCAAACTCCTGCTGCTGTTGATGATGATGACGATTCATACTTTTCAAGTCACACTTACAATAAACAATGTGGCAAAACATTTGACAAAAAAGTCAACACTGGAAAGACACAAGAGGTATCAATTGGGTCGAAAACCCTTTAGATGCTCAATTTATGGCAAACGATTTGGTCAGACGGGACAATTCGGAACGCACGCAAGAACGCACACTGGAGAGAAACCCTTCCTCTGCTCAATTTGTGGACAGACATCATCCTCAAAGGAAAGTTTAAGATTACATGCAAGAAGACACGGTGGAGAGAAAGTCAGGAAGCGCTTATAAACGTCTTTCGTAGAGATTGCCTTGCTAGGCCCGAGTGACCACTGCTAAGGAAGTATAAAATAATCTGGGACTGAAGAAACAATCGCAATTCAGAAACAGTTCAAGTTACACATTAATACGAAGCGAAGTGATACGCCAAATAATCCAATAGGCGGCGTTAATGTACGTGAAGGTGAGTTGTCAACCACCAGTTAACTCAAACACGAAGAAGTAAAACGGAAACAACGAAGAAGACGAACAGGAAAGAAAAGTTAGCGAGACGGTGTAATTGTTTACTCCGGTTAATTTATTCCCTCGCTGTTTGTTCTTAATTCTGTGCGCGTTTCTTTTGTGCAAACGAGTTTTTCGTGGGGGGTTTTCTTCGTGGTCGCATGGACTCGCTTTAGTGCAGTTTCAGACTTCGCGAGCTAACGTAGCTGAGCTTGTTGGCAGCGAACAAAGAGAGGCCGACGTTAGCAACACGTCGCTCTGCAAAGGAGAAGGAGAAAATGATGTGATTCGCGTTTGAAAATGTGTGCAAAAAGTGTCAAAGAAGAATTCGAGGAAGAAGTTTGTCGAACCAAAGAGGAGATCGAACAACAACGTCAGCTACTGGACGCCGTTTTCGTGAAGCCTGCAGATGGATTGCACAGAGAAGGTTTGATCACTTCTTGCCATGAAATGTTTTGTCTCTTTTTAGTCTAAGTATCAAACAGGTGAAGTTTTGCGCCAAATTATTATTTTCCTTATTCCTTTCTTCAACATTTTTTCAATTATACTGAGAGGACGCGGGACAGAAACAAAACAACACGGCACCCGTTATGAAAAACAGACTAGAAAGCACAACTGATTTTGACCTTGGGCTAGAATGGCGCATATCAACAACAGTTTAAATTCCAGTGGCTGATGTCGTATATTCCAGCAAGATGCAACAGAAATGCGAAAACCACTCGGCATCCATTGCAGACTGATCATTCTGCAAGGGGGATTCTCCCATCTGCGGCCCCTTCTCAAGGTTTCTAATTTTTTTTCCCCCAAATAGAATTTTTGTCGTTTTTCCTTGTCCTCCTGGGGATTAAGGTCAGGGAATGTCGTGAATACTTGTCAACTGTGGGCATGTCAAGCACTTTGAGACTGATTGTGTTGAAGGGCTATCGAAGAAATGTGACTTGATTTGACTTTAAAGTGGGTCTTACATATTTTGTCATTTTCCACAGAAATTGAGGAGGAAACATTTGAAGGATTAAAATAAAATAAAAATATAGAATTAATACACTTCAAATGGAGCAACACCTCGCAGCGTGGATGGCAGGAAGGCACAATTGAACAATGGCGCAAACTTGACTGACTTGTCCAAATCCATGTGCCAAATGCCATGTGCTTGTCTTGTTGTGTCTTGCAGACATCAGTAAGAAAGATCTTCATTCTGAGCGGCATGAGCGTAACTTCAGGGTGGATCAGGAGGCGCTGGGGTCTCTGCATATTAAAGAGGAAGAGGAGGAGGAGGATATCACCACCGTGCCATTTATTCGGGTCATCGTGAAGAGTGAAGGTGAAGATGAAGAAGGTGACGGAGACCGTTGTGGTGGATCCCAAGCAGATAGCGACAACACCACGTCTCCTGGCACTGATGATGATGATGATGAAGAACGCTGTAAAGGTGATACAGCGTGCCGTACTGACAGAAAACGCTGGAAATGTTCTCAGTGTGAAAAAAGCTTTGGCAACAACTCCGCATTGAAAATGCACATGAGAACACACACAGCAGAGAAACCCTTTTCGTGCTCGGTGTGTGGTAAGGAATTTTCTCAAAAGGGAAATTTGATAAGACACACAAGAACGCACACACGACCCACCACACTGAAGAAACAATGCTCAGTCTGCGGTATGCGATTCCGTCAAAATTCACATTTGAGAAAGCACATGAGAACACACACGGGTGAGAATTCATTTTCCTGCTCAGTGTGCGGAAAAGAATTCTCTCGTAAGTCGGTTTTGACCACACACACGAGAACACACACCGGCGAGAAACCGTTTTCTTGTTCGGCATGCAACAAAAGTTTTAGTAGTCGCTCGTCATTTATCCGACACAAAAAAACACACACTGGTGAGAAACCGTTTGCCTGCTCACTCTGCGGTAAACAATTCTCTCAAAAGGGCAATTTGGTGAGACACGCCAGAAACCACACCGAACCAACCACTTTGAATCCACACTGCTCGGCGCCCGATGTGATAGTGAGTCAAAACGCACATTTGGAAACCCAAGTGAGAAAACCCTCTGGCAAAAAAAATGCTTCCTGTCATGTGCGTGTTAAACATTTCTCTCGTAAGTCGCTTTTGACGATACACGAGAGAACACGCACGGCAGAAAAAACATTTTCTTGTTCAGTCTGCAACAAAGGCTTCAGCGGTCGTTCGTCATTTGTCCGACACAAAAGAACGCACTCTGGTGAGAAACCCTTTCCCTGCTCGGTGTGCGGGAAACGGTTTGGAGAAAAGGCGCATTTTGTCGTACACACAAGAATACACACGGGTGAAAAACCTTTTTCTTGCCCGATCTGCAATAAACGCTTTAGTGCTTTTTCTACATTTTCCCGCCACAAACGAACACACACTGGTGACAAGCCTTTCACCTGCTCCGTGTGTGGGAAAAGATTTGCTTTGAAGACTTACTTCATGGTACACGCCAGAACACACACAGGGGAAAAACCGTTTTCTTGTTCCATTTGTCATAAACGTTTCAGTGGTCGTTCATCATTTGTACGCCACCAAAGAACACACACCGGAGACAAACCTTTTACCTGCTCGGTGTGTGGCAAAAGCTTTGCCGGAAAGAAATATTTTACGGTGCACATGAGAGCGCACGCTGGTGAGAAACCGTTTACGTGCTCAGTGTGTAACAAAAGTTTTAGTGTGCAGTCCTCATTCGTTCGCCACCAAAGAACACACACGGATGACCGGCCGTATTTGTGCTTAGTGTGCGGTATGAGATTAACTTGTCGTTCACATTTAGACAGACATATGACAACGCACACTGGTGAGAAGATGTTCAGTTGTAGTGTGTGTGATAGAAAATTCTCTCGCAAGGACAATCTGAAGACACACAAGTGTGCAGGCAAGAAATGAAGCCGCAGGACCGGCTGTCTACTTGAAGACAACATGTGCACATTTGATGAGTTGATGTTGCGACAGAGTTGATATAAGACGCTTGCTGTCCGACTTCCTCAAGGACTCTTTCGATAGTGTTGGAACTCGTGACCGTTGTTTCTGGCGCCGCTTCACAATCACTTTCAGTTCATTGACAGCTGTGTTTTATTCAAACGGTCTGTTGTGGAATTTCTGCACTGGAAAAATAAATCTGGAACAGACTTTTTGTCTTTGGTTGTCTTTATTTCAGAGGCAAAGTGTATTTCTAACCGTGCTCACATTAATTATACATTTTGAGAGCAAGTGAAAGTGCATTTAGTTATTCTGCTTGTTGCTATACGTCAATGGCATAGATGGGTGAACCTTTGTTCTAAATTGTTGTGCCACTTAGGGGAAATTTGATCATTTTCCACGGCACAATGATGGGGACACTGTTATCTCTACACCACACGTATACTGACATGTTTATTAATTTATTGAGAAGTCACAATAGTTATTTCTTATATTTCCAAGGATGTCAACATCAATGCCTTTCTGTGACGTTTTCAATCTCGCATCTCTGTTGCAACTTGCTCATGATACCCAGAAAATTAAATACGAGCGTCAAATGGGATGTTCTGGGAGTGAAATGTCCAATGAGCTCATAGTTTCATCAGCTGGCTGCAACAACGAGACTTGAAAGAGTCACAGAAACCAATGGAAATAGCCATCCTTGGAATTTTTAATAGATCCAAAACCTGTTACATTTTTATGCCATTGAGCTCCTTGTAAGAGAACAGCAAGTTGCGCAGAAAGTACCGAAAAGTTGAACAGTTAGACATGGATTAATTTAGAGTGTCAAGAGAACGTGTCAAACCAAGTTCATCTAAAGGTGCGTTTGAGCGTCATCCCGAAACTACACTCGAAACGTTGACGTTTATTTGTGGTCAGGGTCTGAAGCGTGTAACGACACCCCACACCTGACGGGGGCAGTAAAGGACGAGAGGAATGGTTTTTACTTCCGGAAGTTAAGAAACAACAACAAAGACTTCTCGGGGCTCGTAAGCAAGCGTTTTACTTTATCTGTACAGATCTGCCGTGAAGCAGAGTGAACTTGTTAGTGGCAGAATAACTCCCCTTCATGCATTTGGGAAGCTTCTCTGTCTCTTTTAATTTCATGACCTCGCCGCGAAGAGTCAGACGCGGAAGTTAGCAACGTGTCGCAAAGGGGAGATCAAGTGCGACTGTCAATTCTCGTGAGAAAATGTGTAAAGTTGATATCCTGAGAGCGTTGCTAAATCAACGACTGAGTGCGGCTGTTGAAGAAATATTTGTAGTGTTTGAAAAGACGATAGCAGAGTACGAGGAGGAACTTTGCCGAACAAAAGAGGAGAACGAGCGACAACGTCAGCTACTGGACGCGGTTTTCAAGCCTCAAGTGGAGTCCCACAATGCAGGTCTGTTCACTTCTTCCTCTCACTTGTTTCCTCGCTACTTTCTGTTCTTAATCCGCGTATCGGTGTGTATGGTGTAAATGCCGAGGAGCATTCACATGTTATTCGGCTGGAAAATTATATGTATTTACCCTCCTCGCTTCGTATCCTTCTGAAATGTCCGCATTTCTCAACCTCCTGCAAACACACACACAACACACTCTCTGCCCATAAACAGATGCTCTGATTTTGTTCTAAACTATTTAGCTGTGTAACCTGTATCTATCGTACATTCTTCACCAATTACATCCATTCATTTTCTGAACCGCTTTATCCTCACGAGGGTCTCAGGCATGCCTGGAACCCATCCCAGCCATCTTCGGGTAGTAGACGGGGTACACCCTGAACTGTTTGCCAGCCAATCGCAGTAACCAATTACACCACATTGAGAGAAAAAAAATCACTCTTTAAACTCCAGTTTGAGGGAAGCTTGACTTGACCAAACCATGTGTGTTTGTCTTCATGCTTCCTGCAGACATCCGTAAAGATGATCTTCAGCCCGAGCAGCAGGAGTGGAGCTTCAGGATGGCGCAACAGGAGCCAGAGCCCCCCCACGTTAAAGAGGAAGAGCCACTCTACGTCAAAGAAGAAGAAGAGCAGGCTTACATCACAAACTTTCCATTGGCCGGAGTCCTTGTGAACAGTGAAGATGTTGAAGACAACGAGCATGGGTCAGAGCTTTGTCCCGATCAAAATAAGAGGAACAGAGGGGCGAAGCTTCCGAGCAGCAGCTCAAGTCAACACGTGACAACAAAAGATGGAGGATCAGAAGACGACAGCCTCTTCGCTCCACTATCAGATAGCGACAATGCGGCATCGCACTCTCCCGACACTGATGGTAATGAAAACTCCAAAGGCGACATGTCATGTCACATCAACGACGCGCATATTAAATGCTCTCAGTGTGACAAAACGTTCATCAACGTGGCTACTCTGAAAAGACACATGATGATTCACAAAGGAGAGAAAACATTCCGTTGCTCATTTTGTGGTAAAACATTCAATCAGAAGGTGCATTTGATAAAACACACGAGAACGCACACAGGAGAGAAACCTTTTGCCTGCACAGTTTGCGGTATGAGACTAAGTCAAAAAGAATACTTGAAAGTGCACATGAGAACACACACTGGTGAAAAACCGTTTCCCTGCTCGGTGTGTGGGAAGAAGTTCTCTCAGAAAGCATTTTTGAAAGTACACACAAGAACACACACGGGTGAAAAACCATTTTCTTGCTTGGTCTGCAACAAAAGTTTTAGTGCGTATTCCACATGTACTCGGCACCAACGGACACACACAGGTGACAAAGTGTTTAGTTGCGCCGTGTGTGATAAGAAATTCACTCGGAAGGACAACCTTAACAAACATAAGTGCGCTGGTAAGAAATGAAGCTGCAAGGTAAACTTAAAAGAAGTGACCAACTAATGGTTACAAGAAAAGCAAAGTGGGTCATGATGCACTGCGGCGATACAGAAAAGAAAATGGCAGGCGAGCACTTCATTTGTCTGAGATACCCTGCACTTAAAACAATACGATAAGATTATTTGTTCAACGATGTATCATGGAGGGTGAGACAGCTGACATCGATCTATAAACTGTAATTAAGTGAAAGCATTTTCATTCGAATGATGAGTGAATTCCAGTGGGACCGTGAGATACGAATGATCTGGCATACAAGATTTTGGAGATAACGTTTGTATGTCTGATTTTTTGGGTCTTGAAAGTTTCTGGTTTATTTTCCAGTATTGTTATTTCTTGAGATGGTGAATGTCAAGCTTGCATTAACTGTAAATTGTAATCATCTCCTGTAAATAAAATCTTGTAAATGTGAGTATTGGGTTGATACGAGTTCCATTTTTTTTAGCAAAATGTTTATTTATCGAGGGTGCAGGGCATTTATTAAATTACTGCAATTGCAGATTACTGGCACGTCTCCAACGTATGCATCGTATCATTCCATTTCTCACCGCGGGGAACCGCATATAGAAGATTGCTTTACTGGGACTGCTGTTTTTTTTGCGACGTACCAGTCTTCCTGTCAGCTTACCAGGTTTGAAGTGTGCCGAAACGTGTTCGATTGAAAATGCCAGCAATTAAGACTCGTGAGACTCAAGCGTGTAATAACACCTCCACATCTGGTGGTGGCAGCAACGCAGTAGAATACCTCGCGTCTGCTCTGCCGGAAAAGGAAAAGAGGGCGATCTAAAACTTGATTTAGAAGCCGTATGCTGTTGAGCCAGGCCACGTGTATTTGATAGGCATTTTCATCCCGTCATTGAGAGTCATGCTTAAAATGTCTTGGGAAAATACAGTAAATCAGAGGACGTCAATACGTTTGATCTCTTTGAAGATCAATGGAGTGGGAGTGAATGCGTCATCGTCGACGTCATCGTCACTACGACAACACAAACGTCGTACAACGCTTTACGAATACAGTAAACTTGTTAGATGAGTTGGCGCGCCAACAAGCTTCGACACAGAACAGCCTGGCAGGCACAAAGCGACCATTCCAGTTAAGATGACTTATTGATTGGGTGGTACAATTTGTGCAGTCTCGCTGCACTTTGAAGCTTCTTCAGTTAGCTCCTCTTAGCTTAGCTCAGTTTAGCTTGTTAGCTGCGAACAAAGAGACGCGGAAGTGAGCGAGTGAGTCTCAAGTGTGTGAAAATGTGTAAAGTAGAAATGCTGAAGGCGTTGCTCAATCAGCGGCTAAGTGCAGCCGTCGACGAAATATTTGGAGTTTTTGCGCGAACGATAGCAGAGTACGAGGAGGAACTTTGCCGGACAAAAGAGGAGAACGTGAGACAACGTCAAATGCTGGACGCCGTTTTCAGGCCTCAAGCTGAGCTACTTGCAGCAGGTTTGTCCAGTTGTCCACACATTTGGGAGGAGGTTTGTCCAGTTGTCCGCACATTTGTGCAGGAAATTATGGAAGCCTTATTAAGTCGAACATCCGGGAACTGAAGTCGATCAGTAGTGTCCGCACTCATTCGATTAATTTAAAGGAACGCGTTTTGATGAACAAATATAAGAATAAATAACCATCAAGCCCAGATCTACCGGTCTCAGAAGTACTGATCAAATTTTACGACCTGAATTATAATGTTTGTTTTATGCCGATGTTAACTTTTGGAGCCAATCAGAATTCGGTCTCAGTGTTGCCATGTCGGTTTAATCTGCCCAGATCATTGAGAATCAATCGTATAAGGCCCATGCAATATAAATTAGCCTCCGGATGGGACTTTTTTTTAATTTTTTATATATTTTTATTTGTTATATTATGTTCTTATTTCAAATTCATCCTCCTTGATAATGTGATCATTTTTGGTCCTCTGATTAGTTTGTTTGTGCAAAACCTGTGCATCCAACTACAGCGAACGAAGCAGTGTCTGTGGCGTTCTCCACACATTGATACACATTATTATGTAACGAAACTGCTCTGCTCTGTAGTTGGCCTGGAGTTCACCAATGTAACGCAGGGGTGAGCAATTCCAAATTTTAATTTCCAGTATATGTAAGCATTCAAAGGATTATCTCTCCATAGCTGAGCAAAGCTTTACTTAACGAAACCCGATGCGTTTGTCTTTCTGTGTCCTGTAGATGTTGGTGAAGAAGCCGTTCCCTCTGCGCAGCAAGAGTGGAGCTCCACGGTGGACCAGCAGGATCCAGAGGTTGTGCATGTTAAAGAGGAAGCGGAGGAAGCTGATATCGGCAAGTTACCATCAGCTGGTGTTCCTTTCAAGAGTGAGGATGAAGAGGAGCAGTCACAACTTCTTCCCCATCAAAGTGAGCATTCAAGATGGATGCAGCCGCCAAGCAGTAACTCAAGTCAATGCGCGGCAACAGAAGGCGATGGAGGCCACCGTGGAGAATCACAGGCAGACAACTTCTTTGCTCCGCCGTCAGAACATCACGACAAAAGAACATCACACTCTCCAGGTGATGCGGCATGGCACGCTGACCACACATATTTCAAGTGCTCTCATTGTGACAAAACATTTGGCACCAAGTACACTTTGACGAGGCACATGAAAAGTCACACTGCTGGCAAAAAACACTGGAAATGCTCCCAGTGCGGGAGAACTCTTGGCGACCGGAGGAATCTGAGAAGACACATGATGGTACACACTGGAGAGAAGCCATTCATGTGCTCAATCTGCGGAAAAAGATTCTCTCAGAAGGCCAACTTGATCACGCACACGAGAACGCACACCGGCGAGAAACCGTTTTCCTGCACACTCTGCAGCAAACGCTTTGGGGATCGTTCTGCACTGATTCAACACAAGAAAACACACGCAGCGGGCAAACATTTTGCCTGCTCGGTGTACAACCCGAGTTTCGGTGTTCATTCAAATTTGGGACAACATATGAGAACACACACGGGGCAGAAACCATCTGCCTAGTGTGCGGAGAAGTTTCTCTCCAATCTGCACTTTGAGAAGATGCACCCCATATCAGGTCAAACACACAAAACAGGGTATGTTATTACAGTTTACAGTTTTTATTAGTCTACTAAACCTGTGATAGTAGATCAACCAGTAAATCATGTATATCGATATAAATAGAGTGTCGAAGTTGTGCCACAAATGCCATCAGTGTCCCATGTGTGTCGTGTTGTCAAATGACTTCAAGTCAAGTCAAGCTTTATTGTCAAATTTGCTCTGTGTGCAACATACAGCACAGATGAAATTACTTTCCTCTCTCAACCACAGTACAAACAGCAGTGCATTGAAACACACACAGCTAAAAATAAAGTCAGCAGTCCGAACTGCATAAAAATGATTCCTCGATACCGAAATGTGAAACCACAGTGAAGTTTGTGTACATCAAGTTTTGAAAATGATGCTGTTGTCTCAGTATCAGCTCAGCTGTTTTGATACAAAACTATGCTATTTTTCTTTATTAAAGCACACAATAAAAATGGTGGAAAAAATGAGTTGCACCTCAGTTCATGTCCATAGGAATACATCTTGTTTTATTGTCAGTCTACATGTGTTGCTAGTTGCTCCATCGTTTGTCTTCAAATATGCAATACTTAAAGGGCTTTAACGTGTGTCTGACAAACGAAGTGCAAGACAAATAAAATAAACCAGAGTACTGCTTATCGCCAAATGGGGGAAACGTTAACGTTTTTCCTCCCTTGCAATTAAAGTCAGCAAAGACGACTATTGAATGTCTCTGTAGATTATCTTGAGCGATTATTCTGTGTTATGGGATATGTTGAGAGTGATGTATTATTTCCCCGCCCTCCCCTATCTGTTCAGAAAAATGCTGGAGCTGACCATGGAAATTACAAAATCTTTTCTTGCATACTTGTGTTCATGAAACTAAATAATTTAGCATCATAATAGTATTTGTTGGGGCAAGTTTCCAATAATACGCTGGTGAAGGAAACGTTTCAACATACACTCGCCATGGGTTGAAATTGTCTGACAGGATTCTATGAAACTTCATGTGGATGTCGAAATCGTATTTGTGGCGTCAAACAGTCAAAAGTTATTCATATGATTGTAGTCATTTCAGTCCGAATGCGAACTTAGTGTCTTTCAAACTTTGAAATCAGATACTATTTTCTCCTGTCTTTCCTTTTACATTCGTGCGGTCGAAAACTGTATCCGACTGGCGTTCCGACACACCTGTACAGAAGCATTCATTACTGTATTTAGGAGCACCTACTAATGGCGTCATCAACGGCGTTGAATCGCGCATGGTATGGAGTTTGTCCAAGTGGAGATGCCGTACAAACGCCAATTTACTTCCGGGTACGGTTTGTGTTTCCCAAAGGCGCCTCACAAGTAAACATTCTTTGAGAATTAGGACTGAATGAACCGAAACCTCGACACAGAATGCCCCGTTGTTAGTTTAGCGGAGGAAACATTTAATTAAATCCTCATATCCGATCTCTTGTTGAATTTTTACGTTTCTCCAGTTAGCTTAGATTAGTTTAGCTCGGTACCTGCGATCAAAGCGACGCGTTTGTTCGAAACACATCGCTAGCGGAGTTCCCCCTGTGAGTGTAAATTGTTGTGATTATCGGGTGAAAATGTGTAAAGTCGAAATGCTGAGAGCGATGCTGAATGCCCGACTGAGTGCGGCCGTCGAAGAAATATTTGGAGTCGTTGCAAGAACGATTGCAGAGTACGAGGAGGAACTTAGTCGGACCAAGGAGGAGAACGAGCGACAACGTCAACTACTCGACGCAGTTTTCAGGCCTCAGGAGGAACCCCACAAAACAGGTGCGTCCTCTTCACCATATTGAACTCATTCGACGTACTACACCGGCGGACGCGGCCGTCTTGGTGGCCGCCTATGGATTGTTTTGTTCTGATGGTTGTCGATTGTTTGAATAAATACATTTGATCGTTAAAAACTCCTCAAATCTGCTCGATTGGAAAGGCATCTCTGGTGCATTGCCCTCTTCAGACCACCCTTCAAATGTTTGATTGGATTCAGGTCTGGGCTCTGCCTTTCTCAAAACCTGAATCTTTATATGGTAAAGTCATTTGTTTGATGGTTTAGGTTGTTGCCATAATAAAATATGAAGGTCCTCACCAACTTCACCTTTCGAACAAAAGCCAGGAGATTTTGTGCCAAGACTGACTGGTATCTGGATCTCTTTGTAACTCTCTTCACCTTGACTAAGACCCCAGTTTCGTCTAAAGACAAACCCTTCCAAAAAGCATGATGCTGCCACTGTCGTGCTTCACTGTGGGTAGGGTGATGAGCGGTGTTGTATTTGCACCAACATACCTTTGAGACAAATGACCTGTATCTTCAAGCGTCACTTCATCTGACCATAACACATTTTTAATAAACATGCATTGGGGAAATGTCATGTGTATAAAAAAAGACTATCTTCTGTCTTACGCCAACAGGTGAATATCTCAATGTACTTTTCGAAGGAAGGTTTTTTTTTTGGCTATCATAACATTTGTGTGTGTGTGTGTGTGTGTGTGTGTGTGTGTGTGTGTGTGTGTGTGTGTGTGTGCCCTGCAGATAACAGTGAAGAAAGTCTTCCCCTTGAGCAGCAGGAACCAGAGCCTCCCCAAGATCAAGGGGAAGAGGGGGAGGCAGATCCCTTCCTCATTAAAGAGGAAACGGAGCGTGAGCCTCATCAATTGCTGGAGTTGCCGTTTTCTCGCGTCATTGTAAAGAGTGAATATGATGAAGACAAAAGTCAGAGTGTGGAGAGCAGAGGGGCGGAGCCTCCAAGCAGCAGCTCAAGTCAACACGTGACAACAGAAGGTGACGGAGGCCGCCGTGGAGCATCGCAAGCAGACTGCCGCTTGGCTCCACAATCACACTCTCGTTCTCCTGACTCTGATGCTGAACACCCTAAAAGTGATATGACATGTCACCCTGGCAACGCACACTGGAAATGTTCTCAATGCGACAAAACGTTTGGTACCAAGTACACTTTGCGAGTACACATGATGATCCACTCTGGAGACAAACCGTTCATGTGTTCCGTTTGCGGTAAAAGATTCTCTCAGAAGGCACACTTAACGACACACACCAGAATACACACGGGCGACAAGCCTTATTCCTGCTCTGTCTGCAACAAAAGTTTCATTGATTACTCCGCAATGATTAAACACACGAGGGTACACACCGGAGAGAAACCTTTTGCGTGCTCGGTCTGCAACTTAAGTTTCAGTGATCGCTCCAATTTGGGCAAACACATGAGAAGGCACACCGGAGAGAAACCTTTCGCCTGCTCGCTTTGTGGTAAAAGATTCTCCATAAGGGGACATTTAACAACGCACACAAGAACACACACGGGAGAGAAACCTTTCACTTGTGCCATCTGCAATTTAAATTTCAGTGATCGCTCGGGATTGGTTCAACACAGGAGAACGCACACGGGGGAGAAACGCTTCACCTGCTCAATTTGTGGTAAACAATTTTCTCAAAGGGGTGCGTTCACAAAACACATCCAAATACACTCTGGTGAGAAACCATTAAGTTGCAGTGTGTGACAGCTGAACAAACACCGGCGTGCTGCGAGGACATTGAGGATTTGACTCCATTGACAAACCTTTGATTTTGCGTTGTCAATTGTAAACGTGTACAAGTGAGCCCAAATAAAAAATCAAGTCTTTAACTTGTGATAGTGTTCAGCGTCATTGCCCTGCTGCTGTTTCGGGTTCGCAACAAAGTTCTTTCATGTTCTCTCAACGGTAGCTCTGTCACATCTGTACGTGAAGGAAATAGGGATGGGCCAGCGTCCGCTAATAGTAATAAAACTGCGAAACTGATGACCCCTAAGTTGTTGAGAATTGCCTACATCTTTTCACCACTCTTTCCTGCTCCTCCATCTGCCGAATATTGAAAAAAAAAAACATTGTGATGTTTTTTTTTTTTCTCCATTTGATGATGTGCTGGTCAGATGAGTGTGACTGCAGTCACATCAGATGCATATCCGATTTATATCCACGTACGAAAGAGGCCCGGGTTAAAAAATAAAAATTATCGTACCGTTGTCATTGCATGAAAAAAAATCTGACACGAGGTTAAAAGAACAAAAAACTGAATTGACCTGCAGTACGAACACAGCCCCTGTTGTCTTATTGGATATGCGTGTGCAGTTATTCCGACCTTGTAAATACGCTTCACCCATTAAAGGTGATCAAAGTCATGAGCATTTGTGCTTTGAATGATTCTTCTGAATCGATGAGCCACCGGTAGTCACAAGGATGCTGACCTCAAGGGCCAACTCCACGTTGCTTCCCAAAATATGTGCTTTCAGTACAGGATGATTTCAACAAGCCCAAAATAATTCTTCCCTATGAACGGTTATTCCCAAAACATTTACAGCAAAGAATGTTGAAGGTCATAGTATCACCATCATTTTCTATCCATCCATTGGCTGGAGCGCTTTATTTGGGTACATTGTAAGCTCGTAGCTGGAACAAATGCTACTCGTGTAAGAGGACGATGATGGCAGACTAAACAACCAAACCCCCCAAAAATGTTGCATGATCCACAAAAAAGGCTCAGCCTCGATTCATCGTAACTGGATAATTTTAATTTTTTTTGGTATATTTTTCAGAACATATCAAACCCGCTGGTGAAAGTCATCAAGTTCAAGTTCAGTTCATGTAGAAGAAGTCAAAGTTTCCAAAGCCTTTAAGTTCCCGCGGCTTCATTGAGTGCAACGCACTTGTGTGTCTTCACTTGGTACTTGCGAGGGAATGTCTTCTTGCACGCGACGCAACTGAACACTTTGCCTCCAGTGTGTTTTTTTTCTGTGTCGGGCAAAGGCTGAATTGGACCGGAAGCTTCTGTTACAGACTAAGCAAGAATAGGGTTTTTCGTCACTATGCGTCCTTCGGTGTCGGGCAAACGATGAATGTGAACTGAAGCGTTTGTGGCAGACTAAGCAGGAATACGGTTTCTCGCCAGTGTGGGTTCTTGAGTGAGCCTTCAAAGTTTCGTTTTGCGTGTACCGTTTACCGCACACTGAGCACCTGAAAGGCTTTTCCCCGGTGTGTATCCGGGTGTGTTTAGTTAATGCCGAGTGGCCAGTGAAACTTTTGTTGCAGATTGAGCAGCCGTACGGTTTTTCTCCAGTGTGTGTCCGTGTGTGCGCTGTCAAATTACCCTTGTGGGTGAAACTTTTGCCACAAACTGAACACTTGAATGGTTTCTCTCCCGTGTGCGTTCTTATGTGTTTGATCAGAGCGCTGCTATAGTCAAATGTTCTCCCACACTGGGAACATTTCCAGCGTTTACCGGCAGTGCGACCTGTCATATCACTCTTAGAATGTTTGTCACCATCGGTGTCGAAAGAGTGCAACGTGATGTCATCCAAATCTGAGAGTGGAGCTGAGAGGCTGGCAGCTTGGGACGCTCCGCAGCGGTCTCCGTCACCTTCTTCTTCAGCCTCGGCATCAACCCTCAAAGGAAAAGCAACCAATGGCAATTGGGTGACGTCGGCCTTCTCCTCTTCCTCTTTGATGCGGGGAGGCTCAGGCTGCCGTGGTTCCACCGTGGATATCCCTTCTTGTTGTTTCGGGGAAAGACATTCTTGACTGGAACTTTCTGCAGGACATGAGAAAACAGCCATGGTTTGGAGAAGTCCAGCCCTGTGAAATCCCCAATCAAGAATCCAATAAGCCGTGAATACACAACAGCATTTGCTTCGAGATGCGTCAAAACGCGCAAACTTGACGTCGGAGGGCACCATGCTGCCCGAGACTGAAGGCGTATAAAACAAAAATAGCGAAGCAATAGTTAGTCCTCATAATTGCATGAAGAAAATGTAAGAATGTTGAGCGGAGAGAGAGAGAGAAGGTTCGAAAGACCCGAGGAAGGATGCGCAAACCTTCTTTGTATAACACAACGTGCGGCTTGAGAACAGCGTCCAGCAGCTGACGCTGACGCTCATTCTCCTCTTTTGACCGACAGAGTTCCTCCTGGTACTCGGCGATGGTTCTTGCAACAACTCCGAATACTTCATCGACGGCCGCACTCAGTCGCTGATTCAGCAACGCCCTCAGGAGTTCCACTTGACACATTTTCACACCGAAGCTCCGCTGAGCGACGTCTACGATGGCGGATAGTGAGCTAAACCAACTTAAAGGAGCGTCATCAAAAGTGCACTATGACGAGGTTGGCCGGGTACAAAAAAAAAAACAATGTGGATTGTGTTTTATGACAGAAATCCGTGCAGAGTATAGAAACGCGCGGCTATTGAAGCAAATGAAAACAAATTAGGTGGCGCCTGTGCGAGCAGCTTTTGCATGTACTTTAACTTCCGGTTCACCCTGTCACAACCTACTTGTGCATTACTGTCCCCTCAGGTGTGAAGGCGTTCATGTAACAGGGCCAGTGAAAAGCTTCGAAATACTAACCGTACTCTTTTATAATGACACAAAATCTGTGAAAGAATACATTTCCACACCTCTGAACATCCTTCAGATAACATAAGGCGGCAGATCACAACAGACAGCGAAAAAAGCCCAACGAAAAACTTCCCAGACCCCCTGCATGCATGTACTCGCCTAAAAAAACTCCAGCTCGGATCGTTTATTATTTTCATGCCCAGTTGTATTTCAGACACCCTGAACCGGTTGCCAGCCAATCGCAGGGCACACATAGACGAGCAAAGCATTCGCGCTCACAATCACATCAAGGGACAATTGAGAGTGTTCCATTAACCTGTTGTGCATGTGTTTGGAATGTGGGAGGAAACCGGAGTACCCGGGGAAAACCCACACAGGCACGGGGAGAACATGCAAACCCCACACAGGGAGGCCGCAGCCGGAATCGAACCCTGCACCTCGGCACGGTGAGGCCGACGTGCCAACCAGTCGACCACCCTTCCGCCTCTTAACGTTACCTTAAAACTTAACTTGAAACCCTTAAAGGTCCGCATCCAACATACTGCCACTACAGGATAGAAAGAAATGTAACATGATAAAACCAGTTTGTTTCTTGACAATCACTTTTATTATGTGAAAAACGGAATGTGGTCCCAAAACAAACTTGTAAGCAAAAACACTTACAGTCCATAAGATAATACACGACACTCGGGCATGAACAGGAAATCTCGATTGTTTCTTTTTAAATGATATTGAGGGCTATCACTGGTTGACCAAAACAGCCATGCTTATCAAGCTGATACTTGTGTGAGAATTTCTCATCACACACATTGCAACTGTACACTTTCTCTCCAGTGTGTGTCCTCATGTGCCGCACCAATTTTGAACGTTCACTGAAACTGTAGGTGCAGACAGAGCAGGGAAAGGGTTTCTCCCCAGTGTGTGTTCTGGTGTGCGTGTTCAATTGTGCCTTCTGGGTGAATGTTTTATTGCAAACTGAGCAGGCGAAGGGTTTCTCCCCAGTGTGTGTTCTCATGTGTTTGGTTAAATTATTCTTCTGCGTTAATTTAAGACCGCACACTAAGCAGGAAAAAGGTTTCTCACCAGTGTGTGTTCTCATGTGTCTTCTTAAATGTCCCTTTGAAGAGAATTTATTCCCACAAACCGAGCAGACAAAAGGTTTATCCCCAGTGTGTGTTCTTGTGTGACTTATTAAACTTTTCTTGATTGAGAAGCATTTACCACAAACTGAGCAGGCAAAAGGTTTCTCCCCAGTGTGCGTTCTCATGTGAATTATTAAATTAGACTTTTGAGTCAGTGTAAGACCGCACACTGAGCAGGCAAAAGGTTTCTCTCCAGTGTGTGTTTTTGCGTGTGTCCCCAAATATCCTTTCTGAGTGAATCTTTTACCACAAATTGAACAGGCAAAAGGCTTCTCCCCAGTGTGTGTTTTTGTGTGTGTTAATAGCTTTCCCTTAAAAGAAAAAGTTTTGCCACAAAACGAGCAGGAAAAAGGTTTCTCTCCAGCGTGTGTTCTCTTGTGCACTTTCAAAGCATACTTAGTACCAAAGGTTTTGTCACACTGAGAGCACTGCAAGTGTCTGTTGTCAGTGTGGAATGTCATATGACTTTGAGAATGTTTTTCAAGGTCATCATCGTGGTCGTCGTCATCATGAGTGTCTGGTGTTGTGTCTGATAGTGGAGCAAAGAGGCTGTCTCCACAACAGTCATCATCATCGTCCTCTTCTTCATCGCCTTCAATCTTGACAATGACACAAGACAAAGGCAACTCGTCTTCAGCCTCCTCCTCTTTCATGCACACGGGCTCAGGCTTCTCTTCCTTTTTGATGTGGTGGCACTTCTGCCCAGCATGAAGATCTTCTTCGGTGGCATCTGCATGATACAAGGAGACAAACACAAATGGTTTGGGAAAAGTCAAACTTGGTTCAGTCAACTCAACTTCAACTACAATTTTCTATGCAAGGTTTGGGCATATTTGATTGATAAAATTATTTCAATTTATTTCCAATAGTCGATTCTGGTTATTTCATCACAAAATGTTGTCGTAAAATTTTTCTACTAAGGCCAATTATGAACTTTCCAATAAGGAAGAGAAACAATGATGTTACAATTGTCACAATAATACAAATTGTATCAATATCTTTGTGGTCTTGTCTCTGTAGAAAATAATAAGCCGTTGTTGCTTGAATTTTAATTTTGTGTGTGCTTTACATGTAGGCTTGCACCTAGGACCTTGTGGAAAAACGCACAGAAACTAATAAAGACGATCAAGTAGGACTTGGTCATCAACAAGAGAGGTGTTTCGCTTGTCCTGCACGCGCATCTTCGCCCCATGCTGAAGCGTTAAATTTCTGCCATACCGACCGTGAGTTTTCCGACGACGTAGATATAATTATCGTACCTTGCGATTAATATGCGATGATTTCGAACCGTGAGATTCTGATATTGTTACCTCCCTCGAAAGGGTGTGCGCTGGTTTTATACAATTTATGTTAAAACCATTATTCTCTGAGGTACTGTATTGGAAAAATAACACATATCAAAAAAATCGGAATTTTATGTTTTTTTTTCCAATTTTTGAAAAGTAAAATGTGTTCGAATGGGAAGTTACTGTGATGGCACACAATTGAAAAGAGGTGGATTAAAGCCCATGTGCTAAATCTACGGCCTGCCACATTTGACAAACAATGTAAATAATATAAATGTAAATAAAGACATCATGCAAATTCAAGAATGTCGTTCAGTAATGAAAGAAGCTGCTGAAGAGAGAGTAAAGAAGGCAACAAACCTGCTTTGTGTAATCCAGTTTGAGGCTTCTTGACAAAGCCGTCCAAACGTTGACGTGATCTCTCACTGTCCTCTTTTATTCCACAATGTTGCTCCTCGTACTCTTCTTTCACACTTTGTGCACACATTTTCATAAAATAATCACAACAAATTTCAGTGAAACCTGATCTCTGCTTATTGCGCTGTGTTGCAAACAAACGCGTCTTTTTGTTCACAACTCGGAAGCTAAGCTAGGCTAGGCTAAGCTAAAATAGCTGCGGAAGCCTCAAGTGCACCGGGACGAGTTTTTCCGGAAACGAAGTCTTGCGTTATGACGCTTGAGTCAGGCAAAGTACTGACGTATTGTTTCAAGTCTTGGGTATGTTCTGTGATAATTCAGTCAGATATTATTCCGGCCGACCAAAGACAAGATTGGTGTTGGGTTGGGGCACGTGACGTCAGACATGACGTTGCCAAGGCCGCTCGATGCGCCGCACTCATTGGTTGGTTGACGTGTTTTTTTTTTGTCGATTGTGCGCGAACTGTGAATAACATTGAATGGAATTTAATTCCCTGCAATAATAATAATAATAATAATGTTGAAGGACCTTTAGTCTTCTCAGCGTAGAGTAGCGAGATGAACGTCACGTTTGTAAACTACAACATCACAGCATTTCAAGGCAAGGCAGTTTTTGCGCATTTCATCCACAAGATAACTCAGTGTCCTTCATCCATCCATTTTCTGATCTGCTTCTCCTCACAAGGGTCGCAGGGCGAGCCGCAGCCTATCCCAGCTGTCTTCGGGCAGTAGGCGGGGGACACCCTGAAGCGGTTACCAGTCAATCGCAGAGTGTTTCTCATATAACTAAAATTATAAGATTTAAAATTATTTAAGACCTTTGAAAACTAAGAAAAAAACATACGAATAAAATCACGTAAGACATTTAAACGTGAAGTAAAAGAAATAAAAAGTAGTTGACTAAAATTACGAAACGATTCAAGCGGCTGGAATGAGTCATCTACATTGTGAAGGATCGATTTCATATTCGAGTAAGGCTGAGACACACACACACACACACACACACACACACACACACACACATGGGTCCGCATAGTCCTGTATTCATGCACCTACATAACAGAACAATGAGAGTGAAGACATCGACACATGGGAAAAAGTTTCATACACAAACATGAACCTGGTCAAGCTTGAACACTCAGACATGAACAAAGCTAAGAAGTGCGCACATGGATACCTATTAGATTACCCAACAGTCACCAATCAGCAGAAACACAATCAGCATGATGAGATCACGTTTAGGAACGAGCTGAGGACTGGACACTAAGCAGGAAAGAGGTTTCCTTCCAGTGTGCGCTTTTGTGTCGAGGCTTAATTGTGCCTTCCGAGGGAATCATTTATCGCAAACTGAGCGGGGAAATTATTTCTCTCCACTCCGTGTTCTTGCGTGTGCGTGTTTAAATATGCCTTTCGAGCAAATCTTTTTCCACAAACCGAACAGGCAAAAGGTTTCTCCCCAGTGTGCGTTCTTGTGTGGCTTATTAAACTTGTCTTTAAAGCAAAGCTTTTACCGCACACTGAGCAGACAAAAGGTTTTTCTCCTGTGTGCGTTTTCATGTGACTTGTTAAATTTGACTTTTGAGTCAGTTTAAGACCGCACACTAAGCAGGAAAAGGGCTTTTCCCCGGTGTGTGTTCTTGTGTGACGTTTTAAGTTTTCGTTTTCAGAGAACCTTTGACCACACACAGGGCAGGCGAAGGTTTTCTCACCACTGTGTGTTCTTGAGTGTCTGTTCAAATGTCCTTTGGTAGAGAATCGTTTCCCACAAGATGAGCAGGAAAAAGGTTTCTCTCCAGTGTGAGTTCTTGTGTGCCTTTTTAGGACTCCCTTTACAGAGAATCTTTTGCCACAAACTGAACAGGCAAAAGGTCTCTCTCCAGTGTGTGTCATAATGTGCACTCTCAAAGTGTACTTGGTACCAAACGTCTTTTCACACTGAGGACATGTCAGGTGTTTCTTGTCAGTGTGACGTGTCACGTCACTTTTCGAGTGTTCACCATCATCATCGTCAATGTCAGAGGAGCGTGGTGTTGTGTTGTCACTATCTGAAAGTGGAGCTAAGAGGTTGTCTGCTTGCAATCGTCCACAGTGGTCTCGATCACCCTCTTCTCCATCACCTTCAATCTTCACAATGACACAAGGGAGTGGCGACCTGGTGAGATCGTCCTGCTCCTCTTCTTTAATCTGGGTGGGCTCCAGCTCCTCTTCCTGTTTAACGAGTTGAAGCTCTGGCTCCACTTTGATGTCGGGGGGATTTTCCTCCTCCTCTTCCTCTTTAACATGAGGTGACTCTGGCTCCTGCTGCTCAGGAAGGTTTTCTTCACTGACGTCTGCATGACACAAGAAGAGAACAAGATATGGTTTGGGAAAGTTAAGCGTTGCTGAGTCAAGTCTCATGTTGTTTATTATGTTTTTGCCAATGTGTGTCACAACCATGGATAATCATGACGGTGGGGAATTACATTGCTCCGCTCAAAGCTTGAGCAGGTCAGTGATTGGAAGTACGTCATCAACAACCTTCAGGATGCCAAATACAAATTCATCAATTTTGTCATGCGCTTTCTCAGGTGGGTTCGATGGACCTTATTTCAACATTGAGTGCTTTTATCGCGTTATTAGGCATGGATTCTCAATTGTTCAGAGGATGCAGGTGGCAACAGGTTTTGTTATGTTGCGTTGTTGTATTGTATTGATGGTTTCCATAATTGAGACGAACGGCGGAGCTATTCAGAGGTGGATTGAATCATTGAAACCCCACGGACGTCCCGTTTATCAAATGCGCGGCCGTCACTGAAGCACGCAGACTGTCGGAAACTAACACATTTATTCTAAACATAAAGTTGCACATTTACAAGGAGGAATACTGTTGTACAATGAAACTTGTTACCAGACGATTGCGATGAATAAGCGACCAAACCTGCTCCGTGTAACACAACCCGAGGCTCCGTGAAAACAGCATCCGGTGGTTGACGCTGTCTCTCGTTCACGTCATTAGTTCTCCAGAGCCCGTCCACATCCTCCGCTGTTGTGTTTGTACACATTTTCTCACGAAAATAACTCTTACCACTGGCACTTGATCTCTGCTTAGCTGCGCGTTGCCTACAAAGCCGTCGTCTCTTTGTTAGCAGCTAGCAAGCTAAGCGAGCTCAGGAGAACTTCAACGTGCGCCGAGTCGAGTTTATGCGGAAACAAAGATTGGATTAACTTGTGTTTGAATCCCGTTAAACAGTGATGGGCGTACTGGGTCAAACTTTCAATACGTTGAATCGACGCTAATTCGGGAAGGGATAAGAAGTGAAGAAAACGTGATTTAGTCAAACATACACGGAAGTCGATTTGCAACGTAATACGGCAAATCCACTCGGACAAACCTCTGCCAGGTTGAATGCAATAATCAATCCTACTGTATAAACTGGAACTAGTAACGACTCATAGGGTTAAAAAAGACAGCAATTACACCATAATGTAAGAAAACTGGACATTAACAAGCGTTGTGTGTGTTTTTTTCCGAATTCAAGTCAAGCAATGGACTTGTATTTTTCTGGAACCATTTTCTGAGTCCCTCAATACTTGGCTGTTCTTTTGGTAGCTCGTTAACAAAAATGCTGACGGCCAACTAGCGTACGAGGCCTCATAGCTCAGTGGTTAGAGCATTGGTCTTGTAAACCAGGGGTCGTGAGTTCAATTCTCACTGGGGCCTCATCCCATTTAACTGAGTTAATATCAGGTGCGTCGAGCAAGTCTGTGTACTTTTCAGCACTCTTCAAACGTGTAGAACATCACTTTCCATTTATTTTTCGACTGCAAGTCAAGCAATGGACTTGGCTTTTCACTGAAAAATCTGCTGAGAACCCACATCTTTCGAGGCACTGCTTTTGTTTGCTCGTTAACAAAAATGATGTTGGCTAAACAGCATGCAAGGCCTCATAGCTCAGTGGTTAGAGCACTGGTCTCGTAAACCAGGGGTCGTGAGCTCAATTCTCACTGGGGCCTCATCCTGCATAACTGAGTTCAGTTCAGGTCTGTCAAGCAAGTCTGTGTACTTGTCAGCGCCATTCAAAGTGTAGAACATCATTGTGTGTTATTTTTTTTCTACTGCAAGTCAAATAATGGACTTGGCTTTTCCTGGAAAAATCTGTTGAGTACTCCAATCTTTCGACGCTGTGCCTTTTTGAAGCAAGTTTTTTTTTTTTTTTACTTTTCTTTTAATAACGGCGCGACACCCGCAGCGGCTCCTCTTGTTTCATGTTGAGAGGGAAGAAATTTCATCAGTGCTGTATGTTACACATACGTACAGCACATTTGACAATAAAGTTGTATTCAATTCAAGTCAAGCAATGTACTCTGTTGCTGGGATCAGTGAAGCTCATCATCTGTGTGACAAGTGTTCTTCGTAATACCTTGTTTTGAATTAGCTGTGCACTGCTGTATCCAACCCAATGCATGGCAGGCTGATTGAACACTCTAAATTGTCCCTAGGTGTGAGTGTGAGCGCGAATGGTCGTTCGTTTCTGTGTGCCCTGCCCCTGCCCCCTGCCCGAAGAGAGCTGGGATAGGCTCCACCACACCCGTGACCCCCATGAGGAGAAGCATCTCAGATAATGCATGGATACAATTCTTTCTGCGGAGACAGATACCAAACGATCAACATTCCAGTACTGGTTCACAGCCCAGAGCCATGGACCCCTGTTATTCCATAATGTACAGGTCAAAAGGTTACGTTACCTTTCACTTGCATGTGTGAAAAAAGTATGTTCCAGCAATCAATTTGGTTTTATTGCTGTCCAACCCATTTGAATCCACAAACCTTCTTCATACATTACAAGACATCAGCTGAGACAACGAATGACGTAATAGCATCCATCCTGAACTACGATACATCTTTGACATGTTCTTGTGAATTTCATTTTAGATGGCAGTCCACAATTGTCTTGTCCTTGTGTACAGTACATGTGATAACATTAAGTGTATCCATTACATGACAAAATATGGAAGAGCGTTCAGACACAGACTCTGGTACAATTCAAAAGTACATTTCGCATACTGCGCCATTGCTGTGCCAAAAATCAATCAGTGATGGTCTAGTGATCTATTAATCTGGTATTGATTGCTGCAGACAACAGGGCAAAAGAAATGACTACATTTTAAAAAATAACTCATGATATATATACTGTATGTTCCTCTCTGCATTCCAATATTGCAGTGTAAAATACTGTAAATAGAATAAATGTGAACAAAATCTGGACGGTGTCTCATGGGAACGGGGTGACTGAAGTGAAATTGTTAAGAAAGGATCTGTTCATATGTCAATCAAACATGTTCTGGATTTTGACTCAACATATCACATCCCTCCAGTGTGTGTTCTTACGTGTGTTATCAAACTTCCTTTCACAGAGAAACGTTTGTCGCAAAACGGGCATGTAAAGGGTTTTTCCCCAGTGTGTGTTCTCATGTGATTTTTTAAGTGCGTCTTTTGAGAGAATCTTGTGCCACAATCTGAGCATGCAAAAGGCTTCTCACCAGTGTGCGTTCTCATGTGTTGAACCAATGTGGAGCGAACAGTAAAACTGGTTTTACAGACAGCGCACGTAAAAGGCTTTTCTCCAGTGTGTGTTCTTGTGTGCGTTCTTAGATTTTCCCTGCGCGGGAAACTTTTACCACAAATTGAGCAGGTAAAAGGTTTCTCTCCGGTGTGCGTTCGCTGGTGAACAACCCACGCTGAGCGGTCACAAAATATTTTGTCGCAGATTGAGCATGAAAATGGCTTTTCGCCAGTGTGTGTTCTTGTGTGCGTTGTCAAATGGGCCTTCTCGTAGAATGCTTGACCGCAGAATGAGCAGACGAATGGTTTTTCCCCAGTGTGATATCTCATGTGTCTTTTCAGATTCTTTTTGTGGCCAAACGTTTTGTCACATTGAGAACATTTCAAGGGTTGGTTGACATCCCCTTTAGCGTGTTCATCATCAGTGTCAGGATAGTGTGATGTTGCCTCGTCGCTATCTAATAGTTGGGTGAGGTGGCTGCCTGCTGGGGATCCTCTGCAGTGACGGCCATCGTCTTCTGCTGTCACCTTTTGACTCGAGCTGCTACTCGGAGGTCCTGTCCCACTATTGTGCTCACCCTGACCTTTGTCCTCATCATCTTCACTCTTCACGATGACACGAATCACCGGGAAGTGCAGCCCTTGAAGCTGCTCTCCCGCCTCACTGATGTAGTGCTGCTCCTCTTCCTCTTTGACGCAGGGGGGCTCTGTGAAGCAGATCCCGATGCTGCCGCCATCAGCCATTGTCTGTGTGGATGGAAATAATGCCAAATGTCAATGTTAACAGTGAAGGTTAATCTTTGGTTACATGATTGAAACGTGTCAAAATGGAAAAAAAAGCAATGTGTCATTCGACGGGGCAAGCGATCTAACCATTTGACCATCGTGATGCCTTTGACAGATAGTTATTTCACAGGAATTAACTTCATTCACCTCTTGGTGGCCATATGAGTTGTGCGTGTGTGTGCGTGTGTGTGTGTGTGTGTGTGTGTGTGTGTGTGTGTGTGTGCGTGTGTGTGTGTTAGTTAGTTAGTTAGTTTTCCAAATGATAATGTTGCACATATTCATCACATCGCATGAATAGTTGACTTTAACATAGAGTTGATAACAATGCACAAAAGAAAAACATTCAAGTTGAGAGAGTGGGGGCTAGGAAGAAGCTTGGCGGCTGAACAACACCATAAGCGACGCTTAGAAAAGCGTTTTCAAATAGAACGCTCCAAAGCAAGTCAAAGTGAAAAGCGAACAAACCTGCTGAAACGCAACTTGAGGCTTTTCGAAAACAGCGTCCGTCCGGGAGTTGACGTTGTCAAGTGTGTTAGTTGGAGAAAGTTCAGCCTCGTCCTCTGTATCGCTATCGTCGTTTCATGCAATCACGTCACTTTACACTCACACTTGATCTGCGATTAGCGTTTTGTTGCTAACTTCTGCGTGGCTTCGTTAGCGACTAGCAAGCTAAGATAAAACTGGAGACATTTCAGAGTGATACCATTTTAAATGGACTCCAAGAATTCATTAGCTACGTTTACGCAGTGATACAAAAGAATTAAGTATTTAAATGAGAACAAACCCCGTCCTGACCGCAATAACGCTGACATAACTCAGGGTGCTGATAGATGGAAGTTGAATGTTCAACGCATTGGCTACGGCAACAATAATTGGACAAACTACAGTACATGAGTTCTTTGCTTTCCCATTTGCGCCTGGGTGACAACACGTCCGCCACCCAAAGGTTTCACGAGAATCTTTATGAAGGTAATCGAAAAAAAAAAATCTAGTGTTTGGGCATATAGTTGACCCCAAACACAAGTTTCTGACATCACTCTTTAGGTCAGCGCTGGACAATAACTTTTCTGCCACCCAGAAGTAGCTGGCATTTAACGATATGAAGTATTTAAGACTTCACTGCCTTGTGATGCCTTTTTATTTTAAAAGTGCAACAATGGCTACACGCGTTTCATATTTTGGGACGACTGTGAGTCTGATCTTAATCATTGTCTTGACACCATTTTTCATTGCAACAAAATGACAAATGAAAAATCAGACAAATCCAATGATGAATTTACCTCAGAATAATGTAGAAAGACAAGAAAACAATGCAACACCGGTTCCTACATCACAGGATATTTTAGCAGTGCGTGTGTAAATCAAAAACACACATAATCAGATCACTTTCCCTTGTATAATTTAATAGAGTAGATGTACATGCTATCTCCTGTGTTCTATAAGTCACTAGGGAAACATGGGAAGTAGTGAACCCTTACAATGTAGCTGGTCACTTAAAAAAAAAAGTCGTGATCACACAAACTTGATCCAGACATTGTTACTTACTGTGCGTTCTCATGTGATTATTTAATGAAGAATGATAACTAAAGCTTGTATGGCAAATTGAGCAGGTAAAAGGTTTTTCTCCAGTGTGTGATCTTGAGTGAGTGATCAGATTTGTCCTCTGAGTGAATCTTTTGTCACATTCCGAGCAAGCAAAAGGTTTCTCTCCAGTGTGTGTTCTCATGTGCTGAACCAATCCAGACTGAACTCGGAAATTTGCGTTGCAGACGGTGCAGGAAAACGGCTTCTCTCCGGTATGTGTTCTTGAATGTGTCCTCAAATTTCCCTTTCGGGAGAATCTTTGGCCACACACTGAACAGGGAAAAGGTTTCTCACCTGTGTGTGTTTGTGTGTGTGTTATCATGGATTCCTTTCGAGAGAATTTTCGATTGCAGATTGGACAAGAATAAGGTTTCTCCCCAGTGTGCGTTCTCATGTGTTTGACCAACAGCGCCCGCACTCGAAAACTTGTGTTACAGATTGAGCAGGGAAAGGGTTTTTCGCCGGTGTGCGTTCTTGTGTGTGCTATCAAAGTTGTCATTTCAGATAACCCTTTACCGCAAAACGAGCACACAAAAGGTTTCTCTCCCGTGTGAATCCTCATGTGTCTTTTCAGATTTCTCTTGTTGACAAATGTTTTGTCACATTCACAACATGTCAAGCGTGTGTTGTCAGTGTGACATGTCTCATCAGCTTTAGGGTGTTCATCGTCAGTGTCGAGAGAAGGTGATATTGTGTCATCGTTATCTGACAGTGGAGCCACGAGGCTGTCCGCTTGGGATCGCCTCCTCTCAAGCTGGCTGCAATGAAACTGTGAGGCGTGCGGCTCGTCTTCATCGTCTTCACTCTTCACAATGACACGAATGACCGGGAAATCCATTGCTGGAAGCTGCTCTCCACGCAAACTAATGCTGTGTTCGTCCTCCTCTTCTTTAATGTGGGAGGGCTCCGACTGCTCAGGCTCAAGTGGAAGCTCTCTTACGCTGGAACTTTGTGCATATCTGATCCCACCAGTGTCCTCCATTGTTGGTATTTTGATGGTAAGAGAGTGAACTGGAATGACCAGAAAAACAACAGATCATCCTCATGAAGACTCAAATGTGAACATTTAGACAAGACTACTCATCTCACAACACGAAAATGAACTAGTTACAATCGCAAAAGACCAGTGCGAGAGATTTAAAATGTGTGTTTGTGTGTGTGTGCGTGTGCGTGTGTGTGTGAACAAATGGAGCTCGTTTACCTGTCGGTTGAGTAGTCGCACTTGTGGTTGAAGCCAAACTGCGGCAGGGTTTTACTTTCTAGATCCAGATTTGACACCTGTGAGAAATAATCGAGGTGTACTGTTTTAGTCTAATTTGAACCAACATTTTGGACCAGGTTTTCAAGATATGATATCACACGAAAACGTTCCCACAACAGGACTTTTTTTGCTGACATAAAAAAAAATATTTCGTACCAACCGTTTGTCCTATTTTCAAAATTCTTCCTGTGTTGAACTCATACTGAAGAGGCCATTCCAACCACAGTCGGCATTTTGACATTTTGCCTTTTTGGGGAAATCGTCTCACGTTTCTAATTGTGTGGTGTGCCGTGTTGTCATTTTCAGTCAACCTCACATTTACGACACAAGGGGATGAGTTCGTCTTCACATTTGGAAACTCGTCATGTCTGTACTCGGCTTTATGGATCGTTAACGACAACGGAGACACATACACAATTTAGAGAAGTGGACAAACCTGCTTCTGCAATGCAACTTAAGGCTTCTTGAAACGAGTGTCCAGTGGTTGACGTTTTTCGCTCGCTCTTTTTGTTCGAGATAGTTCGATGTCGGTGTCTGGACGTGTTTTGCTAACTTCCGCGTATCTTTGTTCCCAGTCAGCTAGTAATCTAATCTAGTTTGAAGAACTTCAAATTGCACCGAGGCGATTTTGTCAAAACCGAGAAAAATAAATGAGGTTTAAACATTTATTTGAAATTAATACGTGTTCGGGAGAGAGCAAAAAAAAAAAACAGCCCCGTAAATGTACGCAAGGGAGGGATTCAACAACAGCACTTACGGACGTAATGGCTGAGCCGCCACTATCTACGGCAAGTAAACTTGGACTAAATTAATTGTCCTACCACGAGAAGATCCTTCGAGCAGGTGATGAATGAGGAAACACAGCGAATGAAGATGTAACTTTTTTAACCAACAATAAAAATTCGTTTATTCTTAAAAAAAAACCCCACACATTACAGGGCTCCATAGCACTTATCCGCACATTTAATAACAACACACAATTCTAAAGATGGATTTCATTTCGCAGAGAACCAAAGCTTTGTGATTCCTTGAAGAGAAATATGCTTCACCGTACATACATTATTTCAATCATAAAGAACATTAGTGACGATAAATCACACAGAGAAATGCCTGGATGTTTGTATGGCGTGCAAAACAAATACAGTATACGACTCCCTTCAGAGATTTAAATTGTGATGCATGTTTTTTTAAATTAGGTACCGGACTGTACACCCAATTGCCAATCTCAGCGTCATCTCCTGGTCAAAGGTAATACGAAATTCATCGCAACATGGACATAAGTCGAAGAGCAACTAAATGCAAATATGACGGTGAGAGAAGATGGCTTGACTCTTTACTGGACATAGTCGATTACCTCTCCAAATGGTAACAGATCAAATTAACGAGCAGTGACTTCGTGGCATAAGGCAAGCGTACAATTACAATCACACAAACTACCTATATTAATAAAAAGGATAATTAAAGCAGCAGACGCACAATGGACAACATGATGTGTGAATTATAAAGGTCTTTGAGTCGGTGATTCCAGACCTGTCGTGAGAGGTCATCGTGTGTGTGCTGCGGGAAATTATTCCTTTTCACTTAATTGGTTCAAAATTATTTATAAAATAAGAAAAATGCCTTTTTGGGTCATCTGTTCATGTCAGCAAGTTATATTGTCAGGTGAAATGATGAAATGCTCTTCTGATAGAAGGTCCCAGTATTGGAAAAAAGACCGAGACTGATGAGGGGAATATTGGGAGCTATAGCATTAAGTGCTTTCTTTGTACTGATTTTGTGAAACACATTCGTGAAGTTCACCAGCTAACGCTGACCAGGTATGTTGTGGTTGTGAAACTGTAATGACCTAATTCTTCTGCACCCCGAGTAATGTTCACAAATTATTTTTCATTTGTTGTTGAGTGAACGATATAGTCCACTACCACAAAAAAAAATCCCTTTATGGTACTGGTTAGTGATGAGGGAATCGCCGAATGTTTCCGAAGACAGCCACCAAGTTTTTAAATCACACGAGCTTGAGCAGCAGAGCTCGCAACAGTGTGTGTTGTTCTCCCGTGTTTCCTCAATGCCGAGCGATCCCGGAAGCTGGCGTCACACATCGTGCAGGAAAATGGCTTCTCATCCGTGTGCCTTCTGATGTGATTACTCAGCGCCGAACGATCGCGGAAATTCGTGTGGCAGATTGTGCAGGGAAACGGCTTCTCACCGGTGTGCGTTCGGGTGTGCGCGATCAAATACTCATTTTGGGAGAATCTTTTGTTGCAGAATGAGCAGGCGTACGGTTTTTCTCCGCTGTGTGTTCTGGTGTGTCTCATCCAAGTCGACCTGTGAGGGAACTTTTTACCACACGCCGTACAGGAAAAGGGTTTCTCGCCAGTGTGTGTCCTCGTGTGTATCATCAAGGAAGCCTTTCGGGAGAACGTTTGACAACAAACCGAACAGGAAAAAGGTTTTTCTCCAGTGTGTGTTCTTGCGTGTCTCATCAAGTGTCCCTTAATAGAGAACGTTTTCCCACAATCTGCACACATGAAGGGTTTGTCACGCGTGTGGCATCTCATGTGCCTTTTCAAATTCCTCTTTTTTCCAAAGGTTTTGTCACATTGAGAGCATTTGAGGTGCTCCGTGTCCATGTGACATGGGGTATCACCTTTAGACTGTTCGTCGTCAGTGATAGGAGAGTGTGGTGTTGTGTCATCACTATCAGAGAGTGGAGCAAGAAGGCTGCCCGCTTCGGATGCTTCGCAGTGCTCTTCATCATCATCTTCACTCTTTACAATGACTCGGTTCATTAGCATTTCATCATCTTGAAGCTGGTGAAACGGATCTGCCTCCTGGCCAATGGTGTGTTCATTCTCTTCCCTTTTAACGTAGGGGGACTGTGATTGCTGGTGCTCTCCTCCAGGGCTCAACTCCTGCTGTTCAGTGGAAAGCTCTTCTTCATTGACGTCTGCAGGAGACAAGAAGACAAGCACACATGTATCATGTCTCAACATTCAAACGCGATGAAATGTCTCAAAATTTTCCATAGATTTCTGACCCCACGATTCATCAACGATACATTTCAGACAACAAATAGAATTAAACCAAAGAGAAAATGACTAAACATGTAAACAAACCCGCTCTGTTGAAAGCGTCCAGTAGTTGACGTTGTCGCTGGTTCTCCTCTTTTGTTCGACAAAGTTCCTCCTCGTACTCTGCTATCGTTCTTTCCAACATTACAAATATTTCTTCCACGGCCGCGCTTAGTCGCTGATTCAGCAATGCGCGCAGCATTCTCACTTTACACATTGTCACACGATCGAGCTCAGCTTTCGCGACGTGTGGCTAGATTTTGCGTGTCTTTGTCCACAGCGAGCACGACTGGAAAGCTCGAGAAGCTTCAACGTACGTCAAGACGAGTATATCACGACGTGACGAACAAGTAACCGACGCGGTTGGACAGAAGCAAACCGAATTCATGTCACGAGCACGCGAAGGCAGCGAAGCTGATTTATCAGTCACGCCATTTTATTTGTTGCAATCTGAAGTGGTACGGAAAGTCTACTCGGACAAAATAGACGGAATTGAGCTCGTGGTTCCTACCACGCATTCATGTTTTGCTATACAGGGTGAGCCACAAGGTGGACATTTGGAAACATGCCACTTTAGAAAGTAAATTGAGTGTCGGGAAGTCGGAAAGGAGTGAGGAAGGATGAAAGGTGCGAAAGAGCGAGCGAAGGTATAATAAAGGGAAAAAAAGGCCATTAAGTAAAAAAGAATGGAAGGAAGGCAACAAGGATGGTATGCGGGGAAGGAAATCAACATAGAAGAAAGGGAGAATGATGGGATGAAAGAATGAAATAACGATGAAAGGAGGAAGGGGATGTAAGATGAAGGAATTGAAGAAGAATAGAAGAAACGAAAAAAGGGAAGAAAAAGTAAGATGGGTCTCCACATGATCAGCACACACACACAAACCTGCAGCCTTATTCAAATGCCTAACAGTGGTCATAAAAATAAAAAAATTCGAGATCCTAAACCTTATCTAACAGCTTAACCCTGATTTTAACCCATTATTTTTAAAGTGACTGAAATAGAATGATGAATTTGAAACTCTACTTTGAAATATTAAAGTCACACTTAGCATCAATATCTATGTAAACAGATGAGACATTTTTAAAAATGTTTGTCTCATTTTATGTACAGGACAACGTGAAGCCCATCCCCCGGTAAATAAATAAATTTACACTCAAATATAAGACAAGTGAGTCTCTCACAAAGGTCGCAGATCAAGCACACAAAGAGACAAATGAGCTGGAAGATCAATCTGCATTCATCTGATTTTGTTTTAATGTTTTTGATCCAGTTGTAACATGAACATGCAGACAGACTGAACATGGAAAAAAAGCAACAACTTTCACATTGACAGCCTCTGGTAGATGCTGTTGGGAGTTTTGAAAACATCTCTACTTGGCGCAGGCCTTCGGTCAATTTATATTGACCCGCTCCCACCATAATAAAGCGATTCAACATTTATAAAGACAGACAATGATGAACATTTTCAGGGGGTGCAGCAATTATTCAGGATTGTTCTCCTATTTGCAGCATTAACAGGAGCATAAATTGAGGGACTGCCATGTTGTCCGTTTCCTTACGGTCCTTCACTGACTACTGGTGTTCTCACCTGCACACTTGTGTCTGTCACGTTGAAACTTGTGAGTAAATCTTCTCGCACACACACTGCAGCCAAAAGCTTTCTCCCCGGTGTGTGTCTTCATGTGTGATGCCAGCGCCGAACTAACGCGAAATTTTTTGCTGCAGATTGAGCAAGTGTACGGTCTCTCGCCCGTGTGCGTTCTTGTGTGGATGATCAAGCTTCCTTTTTGAGTGAATCTTTTTCCACAAACTGAGCAGGCGAAAGGTTTCTCCCCGGTGTGTGTTCGCATGTGGATCATCATGACCGAGTGCACCCTAAAACCCGTGTTGCAGACCGAGCAGGTGAAAGGCTTTTCCCCAGTGTGTGTCCTCGTGTGCGATATCAAATGGCTCTTGTGAGCAAATCTTTTGTCACAAAACGGGCAGGTGAACGGTTTCTCCCCAGTGTGTGTTCTCATGTGCGTGGCTAGTGCGGAATTGTCGCGGAAACTTTTGGTGCAGAGTGAGCATGTATATGGTCTTTCTCCCGTGTGCGTTCTCGTGTGAGCCACCAAACTTGCCCTCTGAGAGAACCTTTTGTCACACAGTGAGCAGGCAAAAGGTTTTTCTCCTGTGTGACATCTTCGGTGTCTTTTCAGCGTGGAGTTGTCACTAAAAGTTTTGTTGCAATCTGTGCATTTCAGGTGTCCACTGTTGGTCTGACACCTGGCATCACCTTTCAACTCCTCGCCATCAGGACAGTGTGACGATGTGTCGTCGCTGTCTGACCGTGGAGATAAGTTACTGCTTGCTCGGGATAGTTTCTCTTCGCTACCAATGTGCTGACACTGCAAGGAGTGCGGCTTGTCTTCATCTTCGCTCTTCATGTGGACGACGGTCAATGGGAACTTTGCGATGGCCGCCTCCTCCTCTTCCTCTTTAATGTAAGTGGGCTCTCTGTCCGCCGGCTTTTCCCGGGAACTCCGCGCCTGCTGGTCTGGAAGAACATCATCTTCACTTTTTGTAGCTCTCCCTTCACCAACATCCTCCATTGTTTGTGTACCTGCAAAAAAATAAAAATAATATACATATATAAAAACCTCAATTTCAAACATTAATAGTGTTGGTCAAATATACATGCAAAATAAACATCAACCACTTCTAACAGGCGACAGAGGACACAGCAGCTATGCTGACTTCATGCCTCGTACGCGGGGTGTTCTCCTCGAGTTTAGTTTGCCGAAGAGCTTTGCTATGTATGGCTCGCTAGCTATATTGCTAAGGCTTTCAGTGCTAACGATAGCCATGCCGAGAACTCTCACATGCGCCTCCATTTTCACCTCTCCTCACCGCTGCTTACTTAGCCCGCCCAACTCCAATGGGAGCCAATCAGCTTATGCTAAACAAGCCCAAACATAATGACAGCCAATCAATGTCCGCTTCAAGCTGTGACTGACAGTCGTTTCCCCACCCTCAACAACTCGAACATGGGAAGCCAACACGTAAAAAGGGACATTAGAAAAAGGCAACCCACCTACAGAAACAATAAAGTTAGAGATTTAGACATTTAGATTAACGCAATACAAAAAACAACGCGCTAAAGAAGACTGTAATTAATTAATCGCAATTAACGCAATAATTTGACACCAATGACATCTATATTCAACACCCATATCGCATGTGTTTCCAATATTGTCAACATTGGCCAGCTGTCTTTTGGGGCAGCAAAGGTCAAAGACCCCCATCATATACAAATAGTCCAATCCATCGGTGCTAAAGGCACAAGTCTAATCGAGTGGAATCGATTAGACTTAAAGACCTGCCTCCCTATGGTGGGTCGCTTTCACATTTATCAGTGGGCGTTTTCGGTGCTGGGAACAAATGTGACTTCAGACTGCATTTCATCCATTCATTTTCTATACCAGGGGTGTCCTGGAGGGCCGCTGTCCTGCCTGTTTTCCAGCTCTCCCAGGAGCAACACACCTGATTCGCATTATTAGGATTGTTCTAATGCTGCTCTCGAGCTGGCTGATGAGCTGATCATTTGAATCAGGTGTGTTACAGCTGGAAAACAGGCAGGACAGCGGCCCTCCTGGACCGACTTTGGACACCGCTGTTCTATACAGTTTAGCCCTCATTAGGATTGCGGGATAAAAAGGAGCCTCTCAGAGCCGTTTTTCTGTGAGGATAAGTGGTTTGGATAATGGATGGATGATTGTATGGGGCGGCATACACCCCGGACTGATCGACAGCCAATCGCGGGGCATATTTAGACAAATGAGGGTTCGTGTTCACATTCGCACTCATGCACAATTTCGAGTCGCGCCGCATTTCATGAGGAAAATCAAACATTGGACTTTGACAATTCACTTATTGATGAAGTGTTTAATTGTCTCTCAACGTCATAGTTTACTTTCAACATTTCGAAAGCTACAGCTCAAGTAAGAGAAACAAACCTGTTGTGTTTGATCCAGACTGAGGCTTGAAAACAGCGTCCAGTAGTTGACGTTGTCGCTCGTTCTCCGCTTTAGTACGACAAAGTTCCTCCTCGTACTCCGCTATCGTTCTCTGGAACACCTCAAATACTTCGTCAACAGCCGCGCTCAGTCGCTGATTTAGCAACGCTCTCAGCATTTGCACTTTGCACATTTTCACTCGACAATCCCGACACTCGAGCACGGCTTTCGCGACGCGTCTCTTTGTTCGCCCCTTGAAAGCGAAGCTAACTTGAGGGACACTCAAGTGAGTTTATCCAGGCAGTAGATAACAATCATAATAAACGAGGTTTTACAGTGTTAAGCGAAAACAAATACATTCGTGATAGAAAAGAAACGACGCTGCAACCAACGTGCTAACTGGGACAACCACTTCCTTCCGCTTGATTTTGTTCATGCTCGAGATCACCCTCGTCGTTTTTTTTCTTCTTTGTCTCTTTTAGCGGCTTCTTCTTCTAGTGTGCATGGGCGCCACCCATTGATTTGCAATCGTTACTGCTTTGCCTAACATGCAAGGCGGCTGTTCATCGACATGAAGAAGAAAACGAAGCAAAATTCAATTTAAAATAAATACACGAAAAGAGTTTAAATTTTAAAATTATTTTTCTATTGTGACTACGAACACTTTCCACTCGCAGTGATGGAGCAAACTAAGAAAGGTGGTTACGCTCCGGAGTGGACTGAGGCGAGTTAACCACAACATTTAAGAAGTATGCTTCCTCGCTTCCAAATAGACAAAAGTAAGAAGAAACAAGTTCACCAACGTAAATGCGTATTTAGCGGTTATATTGCAACATTCTTGTCAGAGGCTCCCGCAAATCTTCGTGAATCATTGCGCATGCGTACTCGACAACGTAACCACAGGCCGCTGGAGTCAAAACCCGTTCGAACGATGCACCATCCAAAATAGACAAAGATAGCAACCATTAAAATCAACGCCGCCATTAATAACATATGCATCTTCTTGCTGTACATAATATACCCAAATCCAATGGTTGTTTGGGCTGCCTTCATTTAAACGCAACGACTACGTCATGGGACTGTCGTACCCCTTTAAACTGGATTGCACGAAAGGCGGAAGTTAACACAGGATCTCAGAGAATGTTAGTGTGGTTGTAAATTATACTGGTTGACGCTTTTACTGCTTGTTCGGTGCACCAGTGTGTGATTAAACAGAGCAAACTCCACGTCCCTAATTAATCCGCTTAAACTCGCCTCGGTGCACTTTCGGTCTTCCTCTGGTTAGCTTGGCTTGTGAGCAGCAAACAAAAGAGACGCCGAGGTTAGCAGTACGTCGTTGAACATCCAGTGCGAGTGTCGAAGTATCGTGATTGTGTGACAAGAATGATGACAGAGTACGAGAAGGAACTTTCTCCAACCAAAGAGAACGAGCGGGAACGTCAACAGCTACTGGACACTGTTTTCAAGCATCGTCAACTACACAGAGCAGGTTTGTTTGCGTTCGCTCTCTCTCGCGTGTGTTCAGAAGCTTTTTATGTTATTATTGTCGCCTCAGGGTCGCTATGCCACCAAGGAATGGGATGCCGGATGAATTGTGGTGAAGCATTTACTGCCTTAGTACGAACCCGGAATGGTAGCTCAAGCCACCAAAACAAGTGGGTTTATCACTCGTTCACAAGAATATTGAAGGGTCCCGAGTCTCCAAATGAAGTCTGTGACTATTCAACAACTATCGTAACACATTGCTGCCTTGAATTTGGTGGGTTGTAGCATTCTATTTTGTCATCCATTGCTTGAAACGCATATGTTCTGTCAAACAGTTGGACTTCGAAGCCTACGTTTTTTTTTCGTTGAAATAAACTCCTTAAAATGCAACATGCTGTTCATAAGGGGATCCCTGCAACCCGAGTAATCCCTCCATATGTGCTGTCTACCTGTTGATTTATTTATTTTGTGGAGCCTATCTCCAGCTAAGTATTCAGCTTTTTGCATTTTTATGTGCCTTAGAAAACACCCTAAGATTCTTACTGCAAGTTGGTACCAAAGCCTTGTCTAAAGGGAAAGTAGTACATTTTGGCTGAGAAACCAGCTTTTGATGTCAGAGAGGAGATAAACTTGATTGCTTTGCGAGGGAGAGTCTTCGCTGCATGTGAATGTACGTGTGCATTTTTTTCAAAATCAAATAATCTTCCAGACATTTATTTCTAATGGTACTGTATGATGAGTTGGAAATTATATGGAAGGTTTTGACTCCTGTTCTATTGAGCAGTAATGTCAATTGAGAGAAAAAAGGTGAGATTCTCTTTCAGAATGGCTCTTTATTAAAAAAAAACAAAAAAAAAACCCTTCACGATTTGACTGAGCAAAGCCTGACCTCTACTTGTGTTCCGGCGCAGACGTCAGTGAGGGAGATCGTCAGGAGTGGCGCCCCAGGGTGGAGCAGCAGGAGCCTGAGCCCTTGGACATAAAGGAGGAAGAGGAGGAGGCCGATATCACAAAGTTTCCACTGACTGTTGTCATTGTGAAGAATGAAGACGATGCCGACAAAGGTCGGGGTGAGGAGAACACAGGCACGGAGCCTCAGACTTGCAGCTTAAGGCACCACGTGACATCGGAAGGTACCAAAGACTGCTGTGGAGGATCCCAAACAGAAATCTTGGCTCCACGACCAGACAGTGACGACACAACACCCCACTCTCCTGAGACCGACGATGAAAGCGATGTCACTTGTCACGTGGGCAAAACACATTGGAAATGCTCTCAGTGTGGCAAAACCTTTGGAAACAAATATATTTTGAAAGGGCACATGATGATCCACAACGGAGAGAAACCGTTCAGCTGCACGTTCTGCGGTAAAAGATTTTCGATAAAAGGACACATGATAACGCACACACGAATACACACCGGAGAAAAACCTTACGCCTGCTCAGTCTGCAGCAAAAGTTTTTCTCATCAATCGGCATTTGTTCGACACAGAAGAACGCACACGAGTGAGAAACCTTTTACTTGCTCAACATGCGGTAAAAGTTTCACTCTTGGGGGGAGCTTGAAAACGCACAAAAGAACTCACACTGGAGAAAAACCATATAGCTGCTCCGTCTGCAACAAAGACTTCTGTGATCGCTCGGCATTTGTTCGCCACACAAGGACACACACGGGTGAGAAGCCTTTTACCTGCTCAGTGTGTGGCATCCGATTGACTCAAAAGACACATTTGACGACGCACATGAGAACACACACTGGTGAGAAAGTGTTTGCTTGCAGTCTGTGTGATCAAAGGTTCTCTTACAAGTATCAAGTTGACAAACACAAGTGTGCTGGTGAGGAACAGCAATAAATGAAAGGCGTGGAACTTGAAATAAACGTGAACTACACGCTCCTGCGGCTATCGGAGTGGGAGTACTGCTGACGTTTCAAATGAAGAAAAAAAATATCCTGTCATATATTTGGAAAACATACTGGAATGGAGTAGCAGCAGGAGTTGTAGCAGGGTCCTACTTATAGAAAATCAAGACTGTCACATGGGGTGCAACATTTTTTTTTTATGGGTGCCAAATTTTTAAAGGGAAAAAATAAAACTATATTTGGGGACATGATAGCAGGAGTAGTCGTGCGCGCACAAAGTATAGGCATGCTACGGCGCCCCTATGAGGACATGGAAGGAAAAAAAAACATTGCGAGATTTCCTTCCATGTCCCCTTAGGGGCTCCGTACTAAACCAAGGCCAAATGTCAAGTGAATGTGCAACGTTCTCGATCCTCAAGGAGTGACGAAAAGACTCATCATTATCTGTTGTGCAGATCGACAAACAAACGTCAAATTTGAATGTGTTTTGACTCCATCGAGGTTCCGTAGCTTGGTGACGTTAGTGATCATATACGCGTGCGTAGTTTAGATTTCTGACAGCAAGGAAATGTTGACGCCACGGTTGCGGAAAATGTTGTGAGCTATACCCGTTATATTGCATTTATATGGTGTTGTTGTACATACGAGTATACATTGAGTGAACGGTATTAAATCTTCGCGTCCAGTAAAATGGTCGCAGTTGACGCTTCTCCAGCTAGCTTAGTTTAGCTTGTTCGCTGGGGAAAAGGACACGGAAGTGAGCCATCCGTCACGAAAACACAAACAGAAAATGTAGTGTTGCGACTGTGTTCCAACGTGTTGAATCCAGATGCCAAGACCCTCTCTGGGACTGTTAAAGAAAAAAACGACAGTGCAGTACGAGGAGGAATTTCAGTCCGAACAAAAGAAGAGAACGAGCGACAACATCATAGAGTATCAACGTTGTCGTTTTCAACTGACCAGGTTTGTAAACCGCGTCTTTAATTAACTATTTTCGTCAGGGTCCTCGGTTCACGACTGTCTTACGTTGAATGAGCTAAATCCGTCGTAAACCCCGAGTGGTCAGTTTAAAACATGTAAGCAAAATAAGTAGTTTATTTTAGTGGCTTGTATGTAGTTGTCACTTTTCCAAACCATGTGTTTTGTCCTCTTGTCTGCTGCAGACGCCAGGCAAGAAGATTTTCATCCTGAGCAGCAGGGGAGGAGCTTCAGGATGGAGCAGGAAGAGCCAGAGTCTCCCTTTATCAAAGAGGAAGATGAGCAACTAGAGTCCACCTGCATGAAAGAAGAGAAAAATGTGTGGAGCAGTGAGGAGGGAGAGCACCGTCCAGAGCTGGAGTTCCCAGTGATTCACATTATTGTAAAAAGTGAACACGATGAAGATGGAGATCAGGGGTCACAGTTTCACCCCGGTCAATGTGAGAAGAATGGAGGGGCGGAGCTTCCAAGCAGCAGCTCAAGTCAATACATGACAACAGAAGGAGATGGAGACCACTGCGGAGGATCACAAGCAGACAGTCTTTCAGTGCAACTATCAGATAGTGACGACATAAAGTCACACTCACCTGACACTGACGATGAACACTCAAGAGTTGATACGACCTGTCACACTGACATCCAACGTGTTAAATGTCCCCACTGTGACAAAACTTTTGGCAACAGGAAGAATCTAACAAGACACATGAAGTGTAATACGGGAGGAAAAACGTTCAGTTGTACAGTTTGCAGTAAAAGCTTCTCCATAAAGGGAAGTTTAGTTGCGCACATGAGAACACACACGTGAGAGAAACCATTCCTTTGCTCAATCTGTGGGAAACGTTTCTCCATCAGGGGAAATTTGCTGATTCACACGAGAACGCACACTGGAGAGAGACCATTTGCATGCCCAATCTGCAAGACGAGTTTTGGAGTTCACGCAGTACTGATGAAACACATGAGAACGCACACGGGAGAGAGACCTTTTGCCTGCTCAGTTTGTGGGAAACGATTCTCGGACAATTCACATTTGATAACACACATACGATCACACACTGGCGAAAAACCATTTTCCTGCTCAATCTGCAAAACAAGTTTCAGTGATCGTTCAGGATTGGTTAAACACACCAGGACGCACACTGGGGAGAAACCTTTTACCTGCTCCTTTTGTGGGAAAAGATTCTCCATCAAAGGACATTTGAAAACACATGAAAGAATCCACACAGGGGAGAAACCCTTTTCCTGTTCCATGTGCGACAGAAGTTTTTGTGATCGTTCAGCATTTGTCCGCCACACGAGAACGCACACTGGTGAGAAAGTGTTCAGTTGCAGTTTGTGCAAGGAAAGATTCTCTTACAAGTATCAAGTGGACAAACACAATTGCGCTGGCGAGAATAGCGGCAGTCACAAAGCTGCACCCCACTGAACAAACTGAACATTTGGACATTATAAGCATCAATGCTGTGTCAGCGAGTAAAGCTGCCACAACTTCCTTTTTTGCTGCGTTGCATTTGGTTTAGGACTGGACGTTGTGCAATTTGTGTGTCATTTGTTCTATCCATTTTCAATTGACAGTCAAAAATGAGAAATGGCAGATTAATCCAATTCAAATTTCAGTGACGGGTCAAAAATACAAATACATGGTAAAATGGGTCACAGGGCCCTAATGTGATTTAAAATGTTGAATTTGCTACCCCGAAGTTTTGGTAATAATCTTCGTTATCTGGAGTAAAACTGGTGTGATTTTTTTTTAAATTACCTATTGCACAACTGGAGACAGAAGTACTGTATTACTACGAAGGGGAACACTTGTAATTTGGTTTTGAAATATGTGTGTGTGTGTGTGTGTGTGTGTGTGTGTGTGTGTGTGTGTGTGTTTTGAGGCCCACTAAAGACTGTCGATTATTATTTACAATTTCCACGGTTTAAGATGCAAACAGGAAGTCGATTTTTTTTTGTCGCCATTTTGTGGTTGGGGAAAACGAGGTGCTCCAGCAGAAGCCAACAACCAGCCAGGGAAAAGGCGAGCGCCTTTTGCGGACAATAGTTTTGGGCGAAAAGTATAAAATACCCTATTCAGGGTATATTCAGAATGTCGAAGATCTGTTTCATCAACGAATGTTTACACAGCAAAGCCAAGACTACTTTTAGGTGCGCTCACAGAAAAAGTGGCAATCCTGTCGTGTTTTCCCCCAACATCGACATGACAGCGACCGAGGTCAGATCGAGCCGTTCCAGTTCAATTCCCGTCAGGTCAGTGCTGATTGCCCTCTCACTTGGGGCATGCTTCATGATGCATCCACTGATAGACCTGAAGCAAGCGGCATTGGCTTCTGCGTTTGCAAAGAGATGCAACACTAAACTTTCCTCTTGCTTTCTGACTGCTACTACTCTAACTTGGCAGCCCAGTTTGACTTGGGGAAGAACATCTTTTGGCCTCTCTTTCTCTGGTCTCTTGAAACATGTGATCTCTGGAGTGTCATTTGTGTATTTTGCCCACCTTGTGCCAATTTATTTGCGGAGACTGCGCTTTGCCATCAACATCGAATTCATTTCAGTTGGGGCTGAATCACAAATTGGACATCGGCGAGTTTGCTCTGAACAGCTTTCACATGGTTTCATCCACTTTTCATACAACGCTGCTTGAGGAACTTTTTTTCCCCCTGTTGTATGCATTTCACTGCGGCGCTTGGGCCAAGTTTATGATACAAACCAAGAGAGAAGCTCTGAGCTTACTTCAAATAGTAAATGAGCTGTTCCAGCTTGGTATCCCGCACTTATGTTATCCAAACTTCTGAAAGGAGAGATATTTGCACCCTTTGGCTCAATGCTCGAGTCTTGTTTCTAGAATTACGAGTGAGAATTTTTATCGCAGGCTGTGAGTTTCACTTCACTGGTTAAGCCAATGTTTTCTTTCACATGTCTTCTGGCAGGACAGCGATGTTACCGGTGACAGCCTGCCAGGCCCTTTCCCGGCAAAACTGCCCCCTTGACGGGACTTGGAGACAGTGGATCCGCAACCTCGTTTTGCAACTGCAGTGTACAGAAATGACAAAATAAGAAGGCCAATCGGAGGAGGATGCCATGATTTGAAATTGAAACATTTGTTCACGGGAAGAGTCTGACATGAAGACATTTTGATGGCTTTGTCGAGACCGCTGCTGGCCATGTATAATCATAATATGCCAAGTTGCAATTCTTTATACAGTGCAGTTCCATTCATGACTACGCCAAATTCTTAAAATATTGACTTGTCACTTATAATTACCCCCCACCCCAAAATATGGAAAGCAATAGTCCCCTCACATTTTTAGCCACCATTTTAATGCTGACATATTTTGAAGGACTGACATAGAAACAACAACAAATGCTTCCTTCCCATACGGTCGTATGTCGTAGTCTAACAAGTATTACGAAAGGGCTGCAAAGTGTCATGTTGTTCCTCAACGTCTATGATGAATAAAGGTCTTAGCACAGTTTTCTGCATATGGCTGGGCATTATTTGATGAAGCTTTGCTTTGCATCGGTGGCCTTTTTCCTTGCTGCGATTCTGTGGTCTCGCAAATTTTTCAGTGACTATTGAAGTTTGCCTGAAGGGAGATGCGGAGCCCAGGCCGAGGTCTATGCCTGAGAGCTTGTACCAAAAAAAAAATATATATATATATACACACATCCTGTACTGGCATTGCATGGATCAAATATCGGATTGATACAGGTTTTATGATTATTATTAGACTGCAAACAGACTTTAGATGTACATTTGAGCAATGTTTTTAAGTTTGATAACCACAGGAAGGATGAGAAGCATATAGCTAGATAACTACTATGGAGACCGTAATCAAACATATTCCGTTGAGATGGAATTAAAAGCATATTTGTTGCAGAGGCTTTTATGATTCGATTAAAACAACAAAACAATGGTTGGAAATGCGTGAAATGCTAAGCTATAAGGTCTAAAACTAGGAAGAAGTCACAATGTCACCATGCCTTTGTAAACATGCTATTAAAACCTTTTTTTTTCCAACATGAAACAGAATTCACAAACGTTTACATGGGCTGACCCACACAAACCTCACGTGTTTGCAAACAGGTTCCGCGGTACACCGGGTGATCCCCATCCAGCCAAAGGTTCACTCGTCCTATTCGTCTACTTTTTCCTCGCCTTGATAATGTCGATACTCGGGCTTGAGCTCCCAAGTGTTCTTATGTGTCCCCTTCACATTGTAGATGCCGATGTCACGCAGTATTTCCTTCAGATAAATCTGTGAACAAGAGTTGTTTTGGGAAAATATTGTCAACACTAGCTTTACTCTGCAGATAAAACAAATACTAGAACTAGATGAAAGTACTCGAATTTAGGAGAGGTGAATCTGGAAACAAAACTGAAATGACGCCGGAAAGTGGCAAAATGTGAACCAACGAAGCTCCAAGATGCGCAAATGTTTGAAAGCTCTGCGACGGTAAGAAGTCTCACCACTGGCTGTTTGGTAATGTCCACCAGGTCTTTGATGTTGTAGTACTGGTGCTTCTCAAAAGCAGAAAATAACATGTCCAACACCTGCTGCTTGTCCGCTCTCGCTCTCTTGCCCTCCTCCTTCTTTTTCCTCTCATACTCCATCTGACAGACACAAGGCAGAGAAATGCAAGAATGCCTGCGCAAATAGTAACATGAGTGGTTAAGACACGATGGAAATCCCCACGTGAATAAAAGGTACGCCAGCCACATTTAAAGTCATCGGAATTAACATTGCCGCCTTTACAAAGGCTTTTGAGAAAATGGCCTTGCGTTGTCCATGATGGGTGGGCGGGCGAGCGCGTGTGTGGAATGAGGTGATCGGAAAGCAGACAAATGTGAGTCCTTACGTTGTAGGCGTGGTTCGCCACAGGTTTGTAGTTGTTGGTGACTGCTTTAGCCAACTGCTGCGACAGCCGGATCGGCTTGGTGGACTCTTCAATTTGTAACCTGTTTCAAGATAGACGTGAACAACTGTTTGTTTGGTTTATTTGGGGGGGGGGGGAAATCCAACAGAAGACATGCAGTCTGGGCAAAATGTTATTGATACAAGAGAAAAAAAGTGTCTTTCGGTGCAGCGGTATTTAAAGTACACTGTCAAGCATCTTTCTAATATTTGGCATTTTATAATATCCATTTGAAGTTTGCGTTTCACTCAAGAGACAACCCACTCACCTCTTAAGCTTCATGTAGTTTTCACTTACAGCTGGCCTGCAATCTGCTCTCTGCACCACAACTCCCTCCAAAGCAATTTTATCTGGATGAGAGAGAAAAAAAATGTGGATCACAACTTCGTATTATATTTTTACTTCATTTACTTCACAAGATAGCAAAAGATCATCACATCATGGTTTATATAGATATATGTACATTTTTTTGCTTTTGTTGAGTACTTGATGAAAAGGAGAGGGATTGGTGGACACAAGCTAACAATGGCAGTAACAGTCTTTCAGTCACCTAAAATCCCATGTAACCCCCCCCCCCCGCCCCCTTCACCTTTATTTTATGACACGCACTGTAAATTGAGTGCGTCCCCGTTACACAACATGACTTGATTTTGTATTTTATGTGTGTACTTTGTTTTCACACAAACATTTGATTGGTAAAATGCAATGGCACAGTCAGGGCTCACAAAGTGACAGATCCAGACCAAAATCTCGACTTTCAGGCACCCATTATTCCACGCGAGGTGCCTTTGTATTTGAGCTTCACCTAGAAACGTTTTAATCAAGAAGCCGCCATGCGGCTTCGGGCCTTACGTGGACATGTATGTCGAGTATGGGTGTGTGCGTCGTCCAGGACGTATCATGGAGCATTTTTATGATGAAAAGAAAATATCACTCGTTTGATTGTGTGCGATTCACCTAAAACGGTGAACTCACCTGGACCAGCCCCTGCCCCCGAAACTGAGCTGCCACCATCAGATCTCTCTTCTGACTGGCCTACAGGGGGGAGGGAGGGATGGTAAAATAAAAATATATATGTATATGTATGGGGGATGGAAAATAGAGGGAGGAGGGGATCCAACAATCAGAGCCACTCCCGGGGTTTCGTTGCACACGCTTTACCACGGGGAAACCAATACAAGTGAACTCTGTTGAGCACTCCGGTGCGCACACACCAGCAAAGCAAGCATGCTCTCGCAAGCGGCGAGCGTAGAAATCCCGACCCACCACCACAAAACAAAAACAAAAACAACCACAACAGACAGTGCCGCCCCGAGTACACAAAATCCACACACAAAATGCTCGCTGGCCACAGCGTTACTACACAACAAAATACATCACGATGTCTGTAGCGCTTTCACAACAGCTGTAACAAAGTCAGCATTAAAAAAAATATTTGCAGTAGCGGGGCTGTCTGGCATCCTATTATATCCTATGACACGTTTTTTTGGGGGTTTTTTTCACGCTCTGAACTGAAAAGACCAATGACTTTGGACATACACAAAAGGCAGATTTCTCCCAAATATTGTTCACAAATCTGTCAAAATACACAGGTGAACACTTGTCCTTTGAGATGATTCGTTCACCTTAAAGGTGCGTCATGACATGATGATGACACGCAAAGAGAACACCTCTCTCTCCAAGTGCCAGATGCCGTCGAATGTGAGCATTTGCCCACTCAAGTCGGGACACGGTGCAGTCCGGTTAGAGAACCCTGAGGAGGCTGGTTGCAAATCTACGATGCCATCTCATCAGCATCTCCATACGCAACACCGCAGGTGGATGCATTATTATTATTATCAGCAAAGGATACGTGCTCACCCATCCGGATGAAGACAGATTTGTGAATTTCTTTTGAGAAATAGACACTTTATATCGACGCAGTCTTGAATCTTTGAATTCATGTCAGGAAAAATGGGAGCAAACACACAAGTGGTGCCACCGTCGGCTGTTTCAAAAATGCTCACTTGGACAGATGCAGTGTTCCCCCGTGAATAGGAACGGTTTAGTCGCAGAACCCTGCCGCAAATACTGAAAACCAAATGAGTAATTGACGCCCGCCCCCAGAAGGTTGTCATGGGCCTATCGATGCCACAAGTAGGCTGCAAAGCACAACAACTACGGTAGTTCCTTGGCACCAAGATGGCGGCAAAGCTCTACATGAAACTTCTTAACTTGTTTGATTATAGTGCCTTGGGACCGAGATGCCTCAAAATGGTTGCCAAAGCAATACTTTACATGAGACAAGTGCCTTGGCCTGAGCACAAAAAAAAAAAAAAAGCCAATAGATGTTATTTTTCAGCAAATGAGATAGGACAGGTTGCAAATAGGTACATTTGCAATATGCCGGAGAAGACTGTAATGTGATTCAATCAACATTAACAACATCGATGTAGGGTCCCAACCGAGGTGATGCAGTCGAACCTCATGACAACGTACCTCGAGGGACATAACAAATCTGGACCTTAGAAAGTTAGCTCGTTGTGACCATTTCCAATACAATGACCGCCAACTACAATGTATCATACAATCTGAACATTTATAGGTGGAAAAAGGATCATTATGAGGCTTCTGTTAAGCTTCCTGACGATCTGATCATTTAAATTGTGTGTGTTAGAGGAGGGAGACATCTAAAAGAGGCTGGATAGGGCCTGCCACCTGGGCAGCCCAGCTCTACGTAAAGCCCCAAAAATGTCTGGCTTAAATGCTGGGGGGTGGGGGGGGGGTCTCAGGTTTGGATTTAAGGCAACATCTTAACAAGAACTATTATTAATAAGTCATTACATAGAGACCTTCAACATGATTGGTCTGCAGTTGATTTAAATGTTCCTGCCTTCACTCAATTCCTGCTAGACAGAACAATCTTATCATTTGGGAGAAACCCCCGAGAGGTCACAGAAGAGCGGCAATCGTTGCAGGCAAGACCGCATGAAAAGGCAGCACACCCGTACGGGCCCCTCCACCAAAGTGACGATGGAAAAACTTACCTTTGTTCTGTAGGCCAAAGCAGTATTATTTCTCAGCATTTGATAGGTTACAACAAGCAGCATTCCAAAACGTAAGCTCAAAAAAAAAAAAAAAAAGAAATAAGCTCACCCGATGACGTCTCTGTGAACACGGCCAATGTCTGACCTCCCACTGTCTGCATTGTCAACGGGTGTTCCCGAGGAGCAGACACTGTCTTGTCTTCGATACCCTCAATCGCAGTCAACTCTTCATTTAATGTAAAAGACACCTGGAAGTGACACAACTGTTAAAATAGGACACAGGGGGGGGGAGAGTCTGAAACGCTTCATGTAAAAAAATAAAATAAAATAAAAATCATTCTCAAAATTCAAATGCACATCGCTATTTAAGACCACCCCAACCTCTGATAATATCAAAAAAGAAAATTGACCCAGTGGTTTGGATTGAGCATAGGTAGAGATGTGCACATGAACTTTGGGTGCGATTGGTCGTACTTTTCTAACATTTAGCCTCGTTAAGATTTATAGTGAACGTCTATGGGGAGGAATAAGATTAAAGCCTATCTTCTTCTTCTTCTTCTCCTTTCGGCACATCCCTATTCAGGGGTCGCCACAGCGAGTCAGTAATTTCCATCCGCCCCTGTAAACCGTCCTACCAACTCGCATGGTCGTCTTGGCAAAAGTTTTACGCCGGATGGAATAAGATTAAAGCCTATAAAATTCAAAATACTTTGGCGATTGCTTTGATATTTTCAGAGGTGGAAGTGGGCATCAGTGGAGATGCGCATCAGAATTTGGGTGGCGACTGGTCATAGTTTTCTGACATTAAGACAGGATTAGTTTTTTTACATGTACATTAAGCATGTTAGACTGTACCCACAGGGAGTGATGACTAAGATTACAGACAGGTCAATATCAACTCGGATTAACTACATGCTAAAACAGGAGCAGGTTGTTGTCATTGATAAACAGTATCATGGTTCTTACCTCTGGTTTACCTTGGTTCCCTTTCCTTGAAAGAAAAACCACTTCATGTTGGTTAAAGCAAAAAGACTGAACACACAGTTTCATCAGCAGAAAACGAAATCTTATTTCCTCATTATGTCATGAATATCAAAACACAAACTACGATACTTGATTGACAAATACAATATCTCGACGAGATGTATTCTCCCTTCCGCTCTGGTTTCACATACTTTGAGATTCTGAGTTTCCCAACTTCGCCTCTTCCTGTGGCTTTCGCCCATTGATGAGAGAGGTACTTGGGCACCTGCGGTCAGAGTCAGAAGTTATTTGTTTACTGAATGTATTTACATACGAGCCGCCACGTCCCACAATAAACCTCTTAATAAGTTAAGAGAATATTACCGGAAAACATAGAACTCTAAGTCCAGGATCTAAAATAATTTCAGCAAACACTTCAAACAAAGTGCAAATCGTGCCGTTCTGCGGAAATACCGCTTCCTCAAAGGAACAGAATTCTAATCGGCAACCACGACTACTCCCGTAGAGGAGAAACGTTGATAGTTTATTTTAATTTTTTGTTCTTGTGATGTGCTTCAGAGACTTCGATCGAAGTTGATGAGGAAATGCTACTGATTTCGAGATATCGTCGACTCGACTAGTTAGCCACAGCGGCAGCTACGGTTAGCTCGGATTTCTACCAGCTGACTGTTTATATTTGGAGGATCTCGATACATGTGCATACCTTTACAAGCCAGACCCCCGTGTTTAGTTTCGCACCGGTTAAATCAACGTCTCCTGCTTTCTCTGACATGGTAATTTAGTTTTAATTTTAATTTCTACAGATAGCTATTTGCTCAAAGTAGCATGCGCAGGCGTACTGTAGTATAGTGCCCGAGAAGGTCCAAAAATGAGTAGTACGTCATACGTACATCTTTATACCATTTCACGGTATACGTGTTAAAAAATACTTTGCGACTTTCATGATTAATTGACACTTGCACTGCAACATAAAGGGCTGGCAGTGAATTAGTTAGGCTTTGACACAAAAGGCATTTTCACTGAGCTAATTTAGGGGAGAACATGTTTAATCTGTGAAAAAAGTTCTCGTCAGGTAAAATATAAACAGACACTGAAAACAATGTGAAAGTATTCATTAGTACAGTCAGGCTGAACACTTTATTATCTTAAAAAAACAAACAGATTGTAAAATGACAAATCTCACCTACACAAACACAATGTAGACAAGAAATTATAATTTTCTTATGATGTAATTTTTGGATGTCTGTTCCTGATTGGTTTTTGTGGTAGATATACTTTGATGTTTTTCATCACTTTCACTATGGTTGTCCTCTTTCTATGTACCGTATGTTATTTAAGTATGCAGACTGAATTCAATGACCCTTTTTCTCAAAAATACCTTCTATGAAACTTGCAGTTTGCAAATACTTTGGTACAACTGCAAAGAGTGGCAAAACCCAATAAAGTTTTTAGAACATTATATTGAAGTCCAGTCATAACATCACTAGCAGTTAGAAATCAGATTACTGTGAATCTTCACACTAAAAAAAAAAACATGAAGATTGTTTCCTATTTCTTCATGACAGTAGAACAATTTTAAACTACATTTACATTTTTTTGCATTTGAAGTCATATCAGAGTTGAAAGAAATTTTATTTACAGTCATAACATTTTATATTAACTACAATAATCCCCTGGAAAACTAGGCCAGCTCCACCTGCTCTCGGCTCTTCCAAGTAATTGTCCAATTTTATGCATTATGCAGTCGACAACATTTGACTGGAAACAATGTCCTTACAAGAACATCCTATCGTTGCTGTGGGAGAAACGCGTGTTCAGTTCCTGAGATTTCTTCAGCAGACGGTGCTTCTGCGCCTCATCGAAGCGATTGACCTGCAGGTCAGTTTCCCGATCAAATGCTCTCCTCTCCACTGGCTTGTCTCTCACCTGCATTGCTTTCTCCTTCATGTTCTTTGTATGCAAACTCATCAGAGATTCTGAGCGCGTAGTTTTCTTTAATCAAGAAGAGAATGTTACAGCATTAGCAGGAATCCGATCATAGCACTTGTCAAGTAAAGGATGATACAATCAAAAGAACGCTGATTGTCGCTACAACTTACATTATATTTGGAGACCTTGTCTGCCATCTCCAAATCCTTTTGAGAGAGTTGTGGGGCAGAATCTTTCTCAGTCTCGCCCCTTTTCTTTCTCTCCAGACGTTCCTATTGTTCAAGACGAAACTCAGTGACGGTGTTATCAGGAATTAAAATGATGCTGCAAATACACATGTGATACTTATAAGGCAGGAATGGCAATCGTTGGCTTTTCCTACCCTGGCCTTGCGCTCAGTGTCTGCGGGTGTATCGGTCCAAATGGAGCGGTCACCCTTCTCCGGACCCGACCTCTTCTTGAAAGTGCGAGCCCCCACGCCAATGTGTTGTAGTTCTGGTGGAAGCTCAGTCATCCAAGTCTCTCGGCTTGGCGCCTCAGGAACATCCTAGAGATGCAAAATTTTGTACTGGCACCAATGTAGGGAGTAAAGCTCCACTGTGCCCTCTGTACTTTAAAACATGGACAAGTCAGAAGAAAAACTTGGACTCACAACTTTAGTCAGCTTGTCTTTCATTATTCGTGCCCTACGTTCAATGTCCAGAGCCACTGTATTTTGAACTGGACCATCGGATGGCATGGGTCCAATAATAATCTCATCCTCCCCATCACTGCTGAAGGAGTCAGCCTTGTAACCTGGTGGCAAGGCAGGTCCTGGGAAGCCCTCTTCATCACCATCATCGTCATCATGGTCATGTACTGCACGGCGGAACCCAGGAGGCAAAGCTGGTCCCAGCACAGGTGGCCTGAAATAAAGACCTAGGTGTACAACTCATGCCCAAAAACGAATACTCTAACTTTATATAGTCATTTCCTTCTTCAGCTATCGTGGCTAATTACTGTACTCGGTTGCGCCATGTGCTTTTAAGGCATTCATTCGGTCACCTCTCTGGTGAACTCTGTTTCTTGCCAAAGCCTGGTGGTAATGCGGGTCCAAAGAAGCCGTCATCTTCTTCATCCTTTCTCTTCTCAAATCTGTTCAAACGACAGATACGACGACCGTGTTTTTGTTCACGTTCCATTTCTGTAGGTCGCGTTATCGTCCGATCGACATACTCTGTATCTTTGTCTTCAGAGGTCTTGACTCTTTTGACGGCCACTTCTTCACTTTCATCCGACGAGCTGGATGGTTCTCCTCGTTTATAGCCGGGAGGCAAAGCGGGACCGGCATCTAACACGCGGAATTGCAAAACTTCGATGAAACTAATGTTAGTCATTTAGCATTTCTGTATTTCAACATTGAATTTGTACTCACAGTCACGTTCATCATCAGAATCGTCAGCGTTTTTAAAGTTTGGGGGCAAAGCAGGCCCTATTGAATTTTGGGACGCCATATGGGCACCGGTTAGCACAAACCACACTTGTTTCGTGTTCTAAGATGGTTTCAATGCTAAGGTTCAGCCCGAACACTAAATAACTCATTAGGCTGCATGTAAAATACTAGACAGCGTTCAGGACGCAGGTCGACATTTTGAGCAACACTACGTATGCTCTCTCTTAGTTCCGCGCTCCACAGGAAATTACCTACAAAAATAAAAGTATAGTAAATCCTCGTCCTTGTGATCGTTACAGTTGCAGTTCAGTATGTACTCTATATTGAATATATTCACGATCTTGGTACTGCATCTGCTGCGATTAAATGTGTATTTTTTTGTCTTTGTTTGAAATTTACGATTTCACTCAAAAGAAGTACATTTTGAAACTCGCAACCGAAAACGGCGTTACTTCCTCTTTCCGCCATGGTGGTGGCAAGTTGCAGTGTCTCCTCCAACAGTCCTGCACTTCACGCGTTTTCGTCTCCATCGTTGGATCGAAATGAATCGATATGTGCTGTGTGGCGTTATTACTCTAAGGTGGCAGTTGGGCATGTGTTCTGCGTTGCTGTCTGCAGTGCATTGCAACGGGCATGGCGCATCGGGAGAAACAATGATTACATTAAGCCTGTGTTGTTTGATGACGTGCGGATGTAGCCGCCATCTTTAGCCGGCCCGGGACTCCCAGGCCAACATTCACTTGATAACTAGTACAGTATTTGAATGGGGAGAGATTTGCCTCAAATTTATTCACACAAATACATTTCCACGTGTGTAATCAGACCCACAAATATAATCGGTGAATTTCATATGTGATTTTCATATTCAGTTTTTTAAATGTTGTGTCGGAGTTTATTGGGACTTAATCATTTGTAAATACTGTAATAAAAACACTTTCAATATATTCATACACAGGCACACACGCACTCACACACAACTCCCAACCCACTCACACATAACTTCCAACCGTTCAGTGTGGAACGGTCCGTCCCTCCTTCGGCCGCTAGGAGGCAGTGTCGCTATTTTCATTAGACGGGGATGAGTCAACTCACGTCTTTGTTTAAAAACTGGAGATTGAAAAAGGAAAGCAAGCCTTTACTTTATTCGAGTTTCGATTATGTATTTATTTAACACAACCCGGGAAACAAAATCCGACAGTAAGTCCTTTCTCTTGAGCCTCCTTTGCCTTGACACGCAAGACGTTCTTCTTCTGCTCCTCTTTTCTCTTCTTCTGTGCCGCCGCTGCACCAGCAGAAGGACATAGCAGACGCAGGCTAAACCGGTTGTCATGAAGTGATGAAGGCTTCTCGGATGTGAGGAGAAACGTCTTCCAAGACAAACAGAACAGTGCACTTGCTATCGATTGAATGCTCAGAGAAAGAAATGAACTCGACGAATGAGAATATTCACAGGCACACTGCAAATGACTCCTCCACTGTAGTTTTCTACCACTTCAATTATAAACATTGTGTATATTCGCTGCAGTTCATTTCTACAAGTTAATTCTAAAGTGCACGTGTCTTCTGCATTGCGGCTGAAATTCCCCAAGTACATGACTTTCCAAATTTAGGGCATGCATTAATCGGTGTTTAAAATACATGTAAAACAATTGCGTTAATGTGACTTTACATTATTAATGAGCCCATTTTAATTTTAATTTTTGATAAAGGAGGGTGGATATGTATGCTGTATTCTTCTTTGTCTGTTTGTTAGCCGATCACGAATTTGGGGGAAATTGAGGGGCTTGAGGCCCCATCAGAAAGTCAGCATTTCCTAACCTTTATTATCGCACCTTTCATTAAGATTTGCGTCAAACATCATTGGGTCAGGGTGAGATGAAAAGGTCAAGCCAGCCTAGGAAAAGTGAGCACTGATTTGAATACATTTGACTCCATGTTTCTTCACCGACGTCATCGGACAACGGGGAGTATTGCTGACATAAGTCACTAGCGTCATATTACTATTTTCCAAAGACTTACTTAGACTATAGAATGGGCTCTTTTGATCCATTTGTGCTTCTATTTATTGCAGTTATATTGCTGCCATAAGTAATTCATGCCTTTGTCATGTCCTGGCTTGATTCCTGTAATGCACTTTAATTTGGAGGCAGCCAATCTTCCATAAAGCGTCTCCAGTTGGTCCAGAATGCTGCTGCTCGCCTCTTGACTGGTACTCGTAAGAGGGAGCATATAACTTTTTCCTCTGGCATCCCTTCACTTGCTCCCTCTACATTTTAGAGTTCTTTTTAAGATCCTAACATTTGCTTTCAAATCGTTAAATGGCCTCGTGCCACCTTACCTCCCTGCCCGGTGCCTCAGGTCTGCGGACCAGATACTACTAGAGGTACCGAGTACTAAGCGGAGGCTCAAAGGGGATCAAGCCTTTTCGGTTGCGGGTCCCGCTCTTTGGAATGAACGTTGGGCAAGGCCCCTCGCTGCCCAGCTTGAAAACCAGTCTTCAAATTCATTTTTATTCTTTGGCTTTTGACTCAGCCTGAGACCTAATTTTTAGTTGGAATGTTTTTGTGCTTTCTGCTGTCTTTGTCATTCATTTATTGTTTTATTGTTTGATGTTGTATGACTTATTTTTGCTCCTTGTACAGCACTTTATATTCAGCGGTGGTTGTTTTCAAGTGCTCGAGAAATACAGTTGAGTTTAGTTGAGAGTTGAGTAATAAAGGTGGGTTCAAGGTTGCATTGCGGCACCTTTCCTAAACTAGGATTTCTCAGGTATTGACTTTCATCTGTTTCATTCATGTCTAATAAGGTTTGTCAGATTTCCAATTTATTTGTACATGCGACAAAAGGCAAGCTTTATTTTTCCTTGACATATGGAAATGCTTGGGATGAGATTTGAGGGGGTGTCTGTGTTTTAAAGTCAAGACAATTTTCTTCAATAGAACTCAAGAATGGCATCTACGGTCTCTTGCTTTGTGCACCGTGCCAAAGAAGTGAGCGTGGGAAAGTTTCCACCTTTGCCCATTCACTTTTTGCCAGACCAAGGGGTTCTGCACTCTGTGAATCCTGTTTTTGTCTCCTGTCTGCTAACATTTGGGGCCACTTGGCTTGCAACGAGTTGATGAACTACCTTTGTATTTGCACGTCTGCACAGAGGGCGAATGATATGTAAATTAAGTTACTGTGAGGGTTCATTACAGTGATGAGCTACTTCAAGAGACCACAGGCTCTGAAGCGAGGGTGCTCCCTCGTTTAATCGCGTTGTAAAAGTAGCATGACTGTATACGCAACCAATTCCTTCAGCGATTTTGCAACACATCCAACATACGGCTAAAGCGCTATTCACTATTCACGTGCGTAAACAAGTGGTGATTTAAAAAAACGTGCTCATAGCTTCATCTTGGCTTTTGCACGCCTGTATGTATTATTCGCGGCAGTGTGTGCTTGAAGGGTGCGGGTGCACGCATGTCGATTGATCGCTGTGACGTAACAAGTTTTTTTTTCTTTTCCCGGGCACGTTGGAATCAACCCCTCCTTTTCCCAAAGAAAGGATGAACCCAGCAGTCTTTTTAGGGGGGCGGAAGAAAACGCCCACATCCGTATACAGAGGTCTCCAGAAGCAAACATCCAATCCTCTTCTTTCATTGAAGTTGTACAAGGCACCGTTTAAAAGCGCTTCACAACACAAGCCCAGCAACTTCACATGACTGTTACCCCACAGGGCGAGCACGTGCTACATGTAAACGCCGCCGAGGTCGCTTTTAAGCACGGGACTCAGTCACCAAAAATGGCCGTGCTCAATCATTTGACGGCCGCTTGCTGGAAATATTTGCAGGGCGATCATCTGAATAAGCACCTGGTGGTCACACTGCGGGCTTTGCACAAGTCGGCGCCCAGCGAGGCTTTCGAGGTCCCCGCGTCAACAGGCGAGGACGGCGGGTCTCCGGGTCTCATCACAGCGGCGCAGCTCGCCGACAAAAACACTCGAGTTAAAAGTTTGAAGGAGATGCCGGGACCCAGCACGACGTCCAACCTCATCGAGTTCTTCTGGAGGGACGGTTTTAGTAGAATTCATCAAATTCAGGTAAATGCGCCTAAAAAAAAATGTCACCTCCAAATTGGTAAACTTGCTCAGGATGTTCGGGGAAAGCGCATCACGCGAATCGTCCATTGTTATATTTCCAAACCGTTGTGGGTAAAAAAAAAAAGGAAATGAAGATTGCTTTTATTTTAATCCACTCTGCCAGCCGTTTTTTTTCGTTTTTGACTCTGATCCGGCCACGTCTCGTACTGTATTGTATAAATGTATTTACTATACTATTCGCATTTTAACGCTCAGCATGCCTAAAACATTAACCTTTGTTGTTTTGATTCACGTAACTGATTTATAATCACGCCATTAATTGAGGCACGACTGTAGGATTTTTTCCCCCTTTCTCGTTGTTAAAGGGAGGCTTGGGTGGGGGTGGGGGGGTCATTCAGAAATATATTTTAAAGTATGAAATAAAATGATGGAGGGGCTTAGCTGTGGCTATACTGATTTCTCACGGGGCTAAAGTACCCCCTAACCCTGGTGTAGCGTCGTCCCCGCATCTCACCATCATTGCTCTTTTCTTCTGAAGTGGCTAATTGCAGCCTTTCCATAGACACAATGGGAAACCAAAATGTACAGTACACACGTTACAGTTTTCTTGCATTTGAACGGGGTTACAATGGCATGAAAAACAAGGTTCACTCGTGAGTGGCGCACCTACATTTGCGCATGAATTCTGTGGAGCGTTGTTATACATTTGTGAACATCACATTCTTCTTAAAAATAAGGAATAAAGTTATGGAAAAATAACTTTTTTTTTATGGAAAAAACATTGAAAATAAAGATGGCCAAACAAGAATATGTTGTCAGCATCTGTTAACGGTTGCCAATGTGTCATAGATGGAGCACAGCAAGAAATATGGGAAAATTTTCAAATCCCGTTTTGGGCCTCAACTGGTGGTCTCCATCGCCGGTCGTGATCTGGTGGCGGAAGTGTTGAGGGCTGAAGGTGTGGCCCCTCAGAGAGCCAACATGGAGTCCTGGAAAGAATACAGAGACATGAGGGGACGTTCAACGGGCCTCATCTCAGCGTGAGTAGAGTTGTTCTCTCAATAAAGTGGCACAGATAATCCATAATGTACTGGGCGTATTACTGTGTTCAGCAGAAAAATCAATCAGGAGCAACTGTATCTGAGCAATTTGCCATCACTCCCTAATTTTGCCATTGCTTTCCTATAGACTAAATGCAAAGCATCAAATGACTATTTTCTACAGGGAGGGAGAGCATTGGCTGAAAATGCGAAGCGTCCTTCGGCAGCTCATCATGCGCCCCCGGGATGTGGCAGTCTTCTCCGATGATATTAACAAGGTGGTAGATGACCTGATCAAGAGAGTTTGTACTGTACGTAGCCATGGGGTGGATGGAGCGAGTGCGGTCAACGTGAATGACCTCTTCTTCAAATATGCTATGGAAGGTTTGTAAAAGAGGATTCCGTTTTGTGATGGACAAGAATTGCTATATGCATAACTGCTTATCTATATATGAAATGTTTGGCGTTTCCTTTTTTTTGTTGTCTTTACAGGTATAGCAGCCATTTTGTACGAGTGCCGTTTAGGCTGTCTGGAAAACGAGATTCCCCAGGAAACTCAAAACTACATCGATGCACTGAACCTCATGTTCAGTTCCTTCAAGACCACCATGTATGCCGGCGCCATCCCCAAGTGGCTGCGGCCCATCATTCCAAAACCTTGGGAGGAGTTCTGCTTCTCTTGGGACGGCCTCTTCAAATTCAGTAAGTCATCGTTTAGCGTTGGAGGCACAGGCATGAGCAGTACATACTGTATTCCCGTCTACACACACAATAATATACAAATATGTAGTATGTGCATATGATTTGAGAGTATTTTGAAAAGGCTCACTCTTTAGCATGTAAAACCTTTCTCGAGGATGCATATTGCCAAAAATGGTGATTGTGAAAGGAAAGCGAAATACCTTACTGAATGAGATTGTGGGAGTATGGCTTCTTTTTGTTGCATAACCTGCTTCTCTCTTCCGTTTCTTTTCTTTCTTTCACCACCCTCCCTCTACTTCCCTTCTCTTGTTGCCCCCCCCCCTTCCACTCCCAACCACCCTCTCCCTCCTCTATTCATCCCACCTTCTCTGTGTGTCTCTGCTCCCAGGCGTTATTCACATTGATAAGAGGCTCAGTCAGATTAAGGCCCAGCTTGAGCGGGGAGAGGAGGTGAAGGGTGGACTGCTAACACACATGCTCGTCACCAAGGAGATGAGCATGGAGGAAATCTACGCCAATGCAACAGAGATGTTACTCGCAGGGGTCGACACGGTGTGTGAAAAGGCGCTCCTCGCAGTCGAGGAATGTAGTGGGGCACTGGATGTGTGCTTTTGCAGCAGATGAAGGAATCACACGTTTGTGTGTGTGTGTGTGTGTGTGTGTGTGTGTGTGTGTGTGTGTGTGTATGTGTGTGTGTGAGACTGTGTGAGACTGTGTGAGACTGTGTGACTGTGAGTGTTAGGTTTCAAGGGTGGCGCCACATCCATGCCTGTGTAGCTGTGCCAGCGTCAGGTCAGAGTAGTCAATGGTGGCGGTAGTGGCGGTGGGGTGGGGGGGGGTGTTCCACAGAACCCCCTCTGACAATCTTGTTCTCAGCCTTATTTGCTTTCTTGTGGTTGGGCTGTGTCTGTTAGATGTACATGGGAGGGGGTGGCTTTTGTCTTTTTTTTTTTTTTTTCCCTTCGGACATCTGTGTTTGGACATGATGTGTTTCCACACAAGGCCCCAATTAGAAAGCACTTGCAGTAACAAAAGTCATCATCATTTAGGGAGTTATTGTTATTACATTTTTTGAACCATTATTTGGTTGAACGAATAATTAATCAGTCATCAGATCTGAGTCACTTATACGTTTTTTTTAAAGGGTTTTCTAATTATACAACTACATTTGTCAGAAAGGGTTATTTGGGGAAAAGATTCTGAGCGATGTCCCAAACAAATTTCAGTCATCTCTTTGCAACAGTGTCATCCATGTCTGGAGCAAGAATAGGAATGTGAACATCTGCACAGCGACTGCCTAATTTGTTTGGGGTACTGTCGGATTTTTTCAAATTATGGGCCCGGGGTGTTTTGTCCTCATCTGGGGTGTGAGGGGGGGGCGGCAGGATAAAAGTGTGTGTGTTTTTGTTGAACTTGTTGCAACGGCCATGTGCTGGTAGGGGGTGGATTTAGCTGTGCTGTGCCTTTACTCAGCAAACACAGGAGCTGTCAAGACACGTTAGCCGCAGCTAGAGTTATGGCACAGACTGGGCAGAGGTGAGCTGGGATAGTGGGAATGGAGTGAGCCAAATTCTCTTTGAATCTACGAGCCATATAATGGGGGAGTGAAGATGATCCCGGGTGTAAAATGGAGGCTAGAAAATCCGAGATTGTGGGGGATGGAGTGAAAGGAAGGCCCTTTTATTATGAGCTTGGATGAGCCTTTGTCATATGATTCCCCTTGGCCTTTGTCGCAGGTGTTGCCAGCGTCTCTGCCAGCTGGCCATGATGAGCTGCAAGGGTGCGAAATGGAGGCGGGGGGGGGGCTCAGGAGGTGTGGGGGACATATCGGAAGGGCCATACTGTAGGCTGGTGGCTGGAAGGTTCCCAAATGAAAAGAATGGGCTGGATAAAGGTTTATTTGTTCATTGTCAGACAGTGATCCCATAGTGATCTCCAGGCTCTATTCATAGTGACTAATCCGCAAGCGTCATGAAATACTTGGGTGGGAAAGTCACAAGAAGGCTGAATGGAAAGAGCGAGTGCGATTTGAGTTGATAACTCGGACAAACTGGACAGTATCAGAAGATGACACATAGATGAGAGTAAACTCGCTTCTTTCTGAGAAAATTTACCAGTGTGCGCAACGACGTCCTGTAAATGATGTCGGCTGGTCGTGTCAGAGGAAATATTTTGTCTGAGGATGAGGGTATTTCAGTGTTTAGTCTGAATGGTGAGTATTTTTATTCCAGTCGTGGAACAAAAAGTGTGGCTGGATTTAGCACGTCTAATTAAGGTATATGCTGAATAATGGCAAGCGGGCTAAAGGACGGCAGTGCAGCTGGTGTCTGCTCAGCACGTGGAAAAAAAAGACCCCCGCCAGAACCCCACACTCACAAAGCCCCCACTCTTTCTGAACACTTACGCAACGTGACGAAAACTCTTATATCAGCTTGCACTTCAGTCACCGCTTACAAAACCTGTCTCAGTAATTTAATGGACTTTACTAAAGCAGTCCACACTTCAAAACGATTGCCAAAGTGTAATGAGCTCTTGCCTTCTGTTTTCTTTGTTTGTTTTTTTGTTTTGTTTTGTTTTTTTTTTCCAGACATCCTTCACTCTGTCGTGGGCCAGCTACCTATTAGCACGGCACCCTCAAATCCAAGAGCAAATTTACATGGAGGTGGTGAGGACTTTGGGACCACGAGCTGTTGCCGCAGCCGAAGACATACCTCGCTTGCCCCTAATCAAAGGCCTGGTCAAAGAGACTCTCAGGTGCACATTGCAAGCTACCGATTCAATTTTGTCGTGGCATTTAGACACGTTATGAAATGTGTGTGTTAGCATTGTGATCTTTGTGTCCTATCGTCAAAGCTATCGTGGAGCTGATTAACAGTCTTTGTGTGCTCCTCCCTGGGAGCAGGCTTTTTCCAGTTCTCCCAGGCAATGGACGGATTACCCAGGATGACTTGGTGGTGGGCGGATACTACATTCCCAAAGGGGTACGACTCATGTGGACATTATACATGTGTGTCTTGTATGGTCAGCATGTGCTAGAGGAAAATAGAGTCTCTCTCTCTCTCTCTCTCTCTCTCTTTCTTTCTCTCTCTCTCCCTCTTTTTTTTTTTTTTTTTTAATGCACCGCAGCCAGTTGTAATGTGATCCTGCATTACTCACGCATCTTTGTCGTACCAATGCAGTGCAGTTGTTCTCAATAGCTTTCTTTCTCCCCGCTTTGCAAGACTCAGTTAGCTCTGTGCCACTACTCCACTTCCTTGGACGAGGAGAACTTTGCTGATGCTTTAGACTTCCGACCAGATCGCTGGATCAGGAAAGATGCCTCAGATCGCGTGGACAACTTTGGCTCCATTCCCTTTGGCTATGGTATCAGGAGCTGCATTGGCAGAAGAATAGCCGAGTTAGAAATGCATCTAGTTCTGACCAGGGTAAGAAATAAACCCATTGATGGCAAAAAAAACATTTCACATGTTCCAACAACCGTGCTGCATACTATATGGCTGCAGTACAATATTTGCAGTAATGCACACTATTCACTCTTGTCTTGTTGTACAGCTCATCCAAAGGTTTCACATTGGCGCGTCGCCTCTCACTGCTGAAGTGAAGGCCAAAACTCATGGTCTTCTCTGCCCTGCAACCCCCATCCACCTGCAGTTCATTGACAGACAAAATTAGGCCAAAATTTCTCTCTGCAACTCTACTGTATGTTTTTCATGTTTTTTTTTTTCCCTCAATTCTCACAAGACTGATTTCTGCACATCGTCCAGTGTTTGTACCGAGGTTTTACTTGGGCAACAAATGAAGGACACACATCTTACTGGACCAATACTATCAAGTCAAATACTGTAGCTAGTAGTCTGTTTTTCCTTTTGAGATCAAACCACTGCATTTTGTTGTGAGAGCTGTGACTCCAGTCATTTATCTGGTTCTCTGCTATAAAAATAATGAGTGCAACAAGAACTGTAACCTCTAAAATCACGCAGTGCCTTTGAAAATTGATGCAGGGGTTGATTGTTATCATTTGCAGCACATTTTCACATGTACCGTTCTCCCCTTGGGTTTGACGATGAATGTTGATGGTAAACAGTGAATGTATCGAGAATCCGTTTTTTGTTTTCATAAGCAATGACCATAATTATGTTGTTTTACTGACTGTTATTTGTGTTCTAAACTACTTTTTTAAAACCAACAATAGATGGGAGTTATTTGTAAAAGAGTGCCGACTGTGACATGAATAAAATGTAGGAGCTTTGTGTTTTTGTATGCACTGTATCAGGACAAAACTGTTTCTTTTGTTTTTTTATGGATGCATAGTTTTATCTATTTGGAGGTAAGGCATGGAACAAGGGATTAAGATTTCCCCCGAATTTCAATGGAGGAAAACAGAACCATTTTATGTATCTGTAATTATCTGTTCAATTGTATTTTTTTGTTTTTTTACTGCTCTTACTGCTTACTGTAGCTTCAGTAAAACTGGAAACCATAAATATAATCAAATTATGATTTGTGCTGATCTAATTCTTTAACAGAAATATGTATTTGTATTTATCTGCTTGATTGTATTTTTTACTGCTCTTACTGTAGTTTCGGTAAAACTGGAAACCATAAATATAATGGAATCATGCATGGTTTGTGCTCTTATTTTTTTCTGTCAGACGTATTATTACTGTTTGAAAGTGTGACAATGGATAGATGATTCATAATAGCCACGAGAAAACTCCAAAGATTTCTACCAAATATACCGTGCATGCCGCACATAATTACATGTGGATAGCACGGTTTTAAATGTAAATTAGACATTTCATGAATTGGCGTTATTTAAAGCTTTAGTATAAAGGCTGGTTTGGTGACACACAGCTCTTTTTATTTTGTTTATTTTTTTCATGACACACTTAATGACTGCTCCTTTCATATTATTTTTTTCCCTCCATGACACACAACTCCTTTTATTATTTTTTTTCCCAATGTTCAATCGACACCGGCATAGCCACGGTGGTCAAATCATCCAAAGGAAACGTGTTCTTGAGTCAACGCTCGTCTCGCGATAGCTGCTAACGAGATCAAGAGCGGAAGTAAATATTCGGACAGGCACGTTAGCTACCGAGGGGCGTAAATAAAGTGATACGTTCAGCGTGCGAGTGACCTGCGTTTTTTTAACTGGTTAATTTTAATTCTAGTCTAGAGTTGAGTTAGTGGAAACGGTTGACATATAGGCGCACCCGAGTCGCGAATCCGTAACAATCACGTTACGGGCATCCGATAGCACGTTTTGCGGCCTGGGACTTCGGCTAAGTCAGCCAGCATTGTTGCTGCTGAGTTAAGCTAACGGCGCGTTTAGCATCTTAGCTTAAACTGAAGACTAAAGTGGTACTTTCTTATTTCAGCAAATGTTCACTATCCCTCAAAGCGTCTAATCAGTCTGGTCAGTTGTGACGAAAACAATTTCCGGCTGGATCTAAAATGATAATTGAAAATCTGGATGCTTTGAAAACATGGCTGTCTGACACGCTCGAGCCCATGTAGGTACAAATGTTAGCTGTTAGCCACAACTCAGTTGACACTCTGGTTTAACTCGGTCTGAATGAGATTTTGCCGCACAAGCGAACGCTTACAAAGCAGCGACGTATGGGTGGCATTTAAAGCATATTCATTTCTTAAAATGTTTATTATTACCCCCGAGGATCTGCTTCGATTTAAGAGTTGTGTTTGTTCTACTATTGTAGCTGCGATGCAGACCCCTCGGCGCTCGCCAAGTATGTTGTTGCCCTGGTGAAGAAAGACAAAACTGAAAAAGAATTGAAAGCCTTGTGTATTGACCAGTTGGACGTGTTTCTCCAGAAAGGTACCTATCGATCTTGCAGTAACAACGTCATGATGTTTTCTATTGATTAATTTCTTGTTGTTGATTAAAATTCTCTTCCAGAGACCCAGCAATTTGTGGACAAGCTGTTTGAAGCTATAGACAACAAAAGCTATCTGCCTCAGATGGAACCTCAACCCGCCTTTGTCAAAGTTGAGAAAGATGAGCAGAAAAAAGATGAGGTCACTTGTTTTTAAATCATGAAAATGTATAATGTGTTCCTAATTGTACCAGATGAAATGAAGGAACAGCCAGTTACACATAATAGTGATACCTTATTTAGCATGTCTCTCCTTAGCGAACTGTTTGCAAAATGATTACTTTTTTCAAGTACAGCTGCAATTTTGGGCTAACATGCATAGTTTTTGTTATTCAGGCAAACCGAGAAGAAGAACGTGACAAAAAGTTCTCTCGACGAGTGAATAACAGCCCTCCAACAAGTTCCCGCTACAGTAGAGACGGCAGGTGCGTGCGCCAATTGTCTATTATGCATGCAGTGCTTGGTATAATCTTGAACTGCCTGTCATACATATATATATAATGTTGTTATCAAAAACTTTAGGAGAGTTGATGATCGTAAAAGAGAGGACCGTTCCAGGAAGAGGGATTATGACCGCAACCCACCCAGAAGGGACTCTTACCGTGATCGCTACAATCGGAGGAGGGGTCGCAGTCGTAGTTACAGTCGTAGCCGCAGCCGGAGTTGGAGCAAGGATCGCACTCGAGACCGTGACCGAGACAGGGACAGGGAGAGAGATCGGGACAGAGATCGAGATCGGGAGCGGGATCGAGCCCGAAGCGGGAGTCCCACTCACAGCAGAACTCGCTCAAGAAGCAGGAGTAGAGGTAAGACATTGATTGTTGAGAGTGCAGGCAATTACTGAACATCAAGTCCAGTCAAATCAATTTATATAGCCTGTAATCAGAAGAGTCTCATCAGGTTTTATAGGCCCACATTTGACAAATATGAACAACATCCCCTTGAGGTAAACACTCAAGGACGGCAAGGAATAA